GCATTCTCTCTGGCATATCTCATCGCATTTTATCTGGCATATCTTTTGGCATTCTATCTGACATTCTATCTGGCATATCTTCTGGCATTCTATCTGGCCGTTGAGGTCCAGCGGTGCACACTGAGCTGGGAAGGTCCCAGGTTGAGGTCCAGCGGTGCACACTGAGCTGGGAAGCTCCCAGGTTGAGGTCCAGCGGCGCACACTGAGCTGGGAAGCTCCCCTCCCAGGTTGAGGTCCAGCGGTGCACACTGAGCTGGGAAGCTCCCAGGTTGAGGTCCAGCGGTGCGCACTGAGCTGGGAAGTTGGCAAAGAGCTTGGCGAAGAGTTGGCAAGGCGGAAGTTGAGGTGGAAGTTGATGCAGACATGGTCGAGGAGAAACTGGAGGAGGAGGCGAGGAGGAGGAGAGGCGAGGAGGAGGAGGAGGAGGATGGCGAGGAAGGAGGACAACAACTCTGATAAAATCTAACAACCCTCACCTGGCAGGTGGGGAAAAACTCTGAACTGTAGCAAACAAGTGCACAATAATTTGTTCAAGAAGGTCCGAGTTTCTTTTGACAATGTTTAAGCGATGGGAAAAAACGTGATTTGTGGATAGACATGAAAGATAGAAAGACAAAAAAGGCAGACAGGTAGAAAGATAGAAATACAGAACGACTAAACAACTTGAGAGGTAGAAAAAAACATGGAGATAGAACGATAGAAAGAAAATCGACAGCGAAAGAACAATAGCTAGATAGATTTAAATTACTTTACTTCGAGTGATCCGCACCATGGCATTTCAAGACATACATTTGGACATATATTCTGACATTTTGGCTAAGATTCTATCTGGCATCTATTCTGACATTCTGTTGGGCATTCTATCTGACATATATTTCGACTTTCACTTTGAACAAAGATAAGTTCAATAAGATATATAAAAACCGAAGAGGTAGATAAATAATTATATACGAAAGAAAGGTCTAGATTGACACATAGGTAGGCAGATCGATAGATAGATCGATAGATAGACAGATAGATAGATAGATAGAATAAAACAAATGAATAGATAGATAGAAGGAACAGATAGATTGATAGTTAGATAGATAGACTGAACAGATAGAATGAATAGATAGATAGAATAAATAGACAGATAGAATGGATGGATAGATAGATCGAATGAGTAGATAGAAAGAATGAAAGATAGAATGAATAGATGATATGAATAAATAGACAGAATGAAAAAATAAAAATATAGTAATAAATAAATAAAGAAAGAAAGATAGATAGATAGATAGGTAAATAGGTAAATAGATAGGTAGATAGTTAGATAGAATGAATAGCTAGATAGAATGAATAGCTAGATAGAATGAATAGATAGAATGAATAGCTAGATAGAATGAATAGATAGATAGAATGGATAGATGGATAGATGGATAGATGGATAGATAGATAGAATGGATAGATGGATAGATGGATAGATGGATAGATGGATAGATAGATAGAATGGATAGATGGATAGATGGATAGATGGATAGATGGATAGATGGATAGATGGATAGATGGATAGATGGGTAGATGGATAGATGGATAGATGGATAGATGGATAGATGGATAGATGGATAGATGGATGGATGGATGGATGGATAGATAGATAGATAGATAGACAGATAGATAGAATGAAAAGATAGAAAGAATGAATAGATCGGTAGAATGAATAGATAGGAAGAATGAATAGATAGGTAGTTTGAAAAGATAGATAGAATGAATAGATGGATAGAATGAATAGATAATATGAATGAATAGATAGAATGAATAGATAGATAGATAGATGGATGGATAGATAGGATTAGATTAGATTAGATTAGAATAGAATAGACTAGAATAGATAGAATAGAATAGCATAGAACAGAATAGAACAGAGAGATAGATAGATCGATAGAAAAGTTTTTTTCGATAGATCGATAGAATACATAGAATAGATCTATCGATCGATGGATATAGAATAGATAGTTTTGATAAATTAGATAGATTAAATGGATTTGATAGATTAGATAGATTAAATAGATAGGAGGACAAACAAATGATAATGGAAAGAAAACAAAGAAAATGGAGATAGATCGACTTGTAGAGGGATAATGAGAACGGTAGAATAGTGCAGGTAGATAGTAGATAGGTGGGCCGATAGAAGTTTAAAAAAAAACATAGATAGACATATACCGGTAGGTAGTAAGAACGATAGACCAAGAGAAAGATAAGTAGATTTGCAAGAGCCCACTTTCAGATTAATTAACCGTCTTTTGTTAAGACCTGTTGAACTATTTTCATGTTGCAGCAAGTGACCTAGAGACCCTTTGTTGGGATAAAAAAGGATTCCTCAGGTCACTTGTTCAAAGCTAGTTCAAAGTGGACAACTACCCAACATAGACATACCGATAGGTAGAAAAAACAGACTGAAGAAGAACAGACATTAATTAGATAGAGAACAGATAGAAAGACAAACAGCTAGGAACAACGGTAGATACAGTACATGCATGCATGCATGCATGCATACATGCATACATAGATAGATCGATAGATAGATAGATAGATAGACAGACAGATAGATAGATAGGTAGGAAGATAGGTAGGTAGGTAGGTAGGTAGATAGATAAAGGCTTAAACACCTGAAAGTCTACTCGGTGCACTCGGTGCGCTCCAAGTGTACTCCGTGCACTCGGTGCACTCGGCGCGCTGCAAGTGTACTCGGTGCGCTGCAATGTACTCCTTGCACTCGGTGCACTCGGTGCGCTGCAGGTGTACTTGGTGCACTCGGTGTACTCGGTGCACTCGGTGCGCTGCAAGTGGACTCGGTGCACTCGGTGCACTCGGTGCGCTGCAAGTGCATTCGGTGCACTCGGTGCACTCGGTGCGCAGCAAGTGCACTCGGTGTACTCGGTGCACTCAGTGCGCTGCAACTGTACTCGGTGCACTCGGTGCGGTGCACTCGGTGCGGTACACTCGGTGCACTCGGTGCGGTGTACTCGGTGCACTCGGTGCGCGCACTGTGCGCAGTCACTGATCGCGGCCGCAATGTAAAATGGTGGCACCCCAATCCATCCAAGTTATTAGACCGTGACTGGGTATTGAAAACCATGGTGACTTGGAGATCTCACATTGTAAGAACCCCCCGTATGGTTTAGGTATTGGTATAATGATGACTATGGAACGTGTATACACACATATATATATATATATGTATGTATGATTCGAAGTATAGTTGCGACTTTTTGGTTGGAATTGTAGTAATATTTGGTTATATCTGGTTACATCCCAAGCGAGAAGGGTTATAATATTGACATGGTCATTTTGTTTCTAGCCGAGATGCTCGGTGGTTGAATGATGAGATCTTTATATGATAAACCAAAGGTATCTGTCTGATTAGTCGGTTTTATGATTAAAATTACTGGAAACACGGAATAGTAAGGGATACGGTTATACAAAAATGCTTGTGGGATGATATCCGGGTTTGTTTGAAAATGGGATACCCAGATACCACAAAATTCATGGTTTATCACCAACTTCTATGTCAAAAATGCTGGGTATACCCAGCTTTTGGAGCTTATAGTAAATAGTAGCACAAATGTTAGATGTACCACTCTGTCAGCAGGAACTCATTTCTTTCTATCTTTCGGGGTGGTGGTACATATGATTGTAAAGGTATAATAACAAGCTATGTTTGAGACCTTCATACGGTTACATTATATGATGATCGACCGGGATAGAACTGCGAATCGCCGGCTGCATGTGGGCAGATGGACACACGAAAAACTGGGGATGTTCAGCGATCGAGAAAACGATCCTAAGGAATGACAGTTCTGAACCTCAGCAATGTGCATAAAGAAATGTGTTGGGTATGCTGATGAAAAGACGGACTTGAAACAACACAACTTGTCGGTTTTTCTGACATGAATTAAAACATCATCAGCAAAATTTGCGCTTTAATGGGCCTAAGTGCCCTGGGACGCCTATTAAACAGTGCGAGAAAAAGGAGTGGCAAAAACATCAGCAAGATACGTGCACAGATATGGTGGGTTGATGGCAGGCAGTTGGAAGTTCCTGATTTGTCGGAATCTTTTGGGGACCCATTTTTTGGGGTTAACATGTGACCCACACCCGTGACATATTGAGGCTGCCGTAAAAATGAAACCCTAAATTTTTGATGTGCGAAGCTAGTGGATCTTTCTCCTACACAACCTACAGTGGTTAGTTCACACCAGTGGACTCAGCAGTCAGCTTATGCTCAGTGTGGCTGTTGACATGAACAGAGTACGCAGTGAACAGTGTCATCTCAACACGATGGAACCAAACAACTGGGCCATGTCATCCAGTTGGGCCATGCAATACTACGGTATTGGTATCATCTGAAAAAAAACAATGTAAAAACATCGAACTGTGACCTCATGCTTCAAATCGAATGTAGGTTTCCTGAGGGTTAGATCGAGTTAATGTTTTAGTCAAACTGTTACATCGATCAATCAACAATAATTTGAATTCCGCCTTAACTCACCATGGCTCCGAATCTGCACGCTGATCCCTATTGAGATGTGCATCCGCAAAATTCTAAGAGGTTCAAAAACATGAACATAATCCATCAACAAATACGGTATTGCGGAAACGTGCCAATATATTTATAAAAAAGAGTGAACCCTTGATGTCACTGCGGATATTGTATATATATATATACATATATATATATATATATGCATGGAAGTTTTATTTCCTAAAATAGGGGTGCCCCTAAATCATCCATTTTAGATTGGGATTTTCCATTATTATAATTTATAAACCATCCATTTTCGGGTACTTCCATGATTTTAGGACACATCCATACAATGTGAGGCCCCCAAGATAGCTAAGTTGGTGTATAACTCCAATAACTATGGTTTATGGTACTTATAACTATAGTTACTGGGGCTTATAAACCAACTTGTAACTGGGGGGCCTCACATTGTATATTTCACGAGCCCCTTTCGGAGGGCCTGCAGGCGCACCGGCAGCTTGTCGCGCGAGAGTTCGCAAATCACTCGGCCCAGTTTGCCCGTCTTGGTGTCCTGTCAGCGAGGTGAAAATGTGGCACATAGGAACATCAACGTTGGAACACATCAATAATTTTGCCTGTGTAAAAGTGCGAAAATAGAAATCAATGAATATCCTCTGGTAAACTAAGCTTTATAGTGGATTTAGCAATTAAACATGTTTTTTTCTTTTCCCATGGCTATGTTAAATAACCAGAGGGTAAATGAATATGTCTCCAAGTGTCAAAAAGGGTACCTTGCCTTGCCGACGAAGAGATACTCCAAACCTTCCTTGTGGCCATCAGGGAGGACATATGGTTGGGTGGGCCAACGTACTCTGGTGAATTCCGGATTGTTTTCGCAAAGACGATACTGGATGGTGATTTTGCGTAAGTTTTGACCCCCATTTCACTCCTAAAAGTGACATTGTCGACCATTCAAGTTCCCAAAAAAGGCAACATACACCAAAGAACGCATAGACCTTGGTGAAGCTGTAGCTGTAGGCGGAATATCTGCAGCTTTTCCAGCCTGGATTCTGAATTCGAATGGCCATTTCGGCTGCCAAGGATCTTTTTTGGCAGCAGAGAGGGCGGTTCTTCCCTTGACGCTTCGGCCAGCGAAAAGCGTGAAGTCCAAGACAGACTTGCAAAACCTTGGGCTTGGGCCGTTCTTGGGGGAGATTTTCAGGAAATCTGCCAGACGTAACATCCACATAAAAACATGAAACACTCCTTTTTTGAGGCACCGCTGCAACATCACTTGGAGACCACAGTCCCCAAGGTCTCAATGAAATTCAACATGGGCTGAAAGGATCTTGAAAAAATTCAACTTTGGGATATTTTCATATATTTTCTGGTTCCATGTTCAGTTTCTAGTGGCTACCCACATCTTTGGTGATGAGCTAGCTTCCAAAAGCGGAAAGTCACCCAGCGACAAGAGACACTCCCAGTAGAAGCAGCGACAAGATCGAAGGGCCGCGCGCCATTGTCGCAAATGCCACAGATCTGATTCTGCAGTGGGACTCTTTTTTGTGTTAAGAACAACTTTGGACATCTTGGGCAGTGGGAAAGACTTAGATCATGATCATCAGATCACAAGATCAAATCATGGCCGGATCAGAATGCTAAGACATATTTTGTGGGAGAAATCTTGCGTGGCTTGAAATGCATCCAAATGGCTATCGTGAGAATCGATTCACTTTCATGCAGGATTTGGGGTCTGTGAAAACATTCTTCCAGCGAGAATCGGTTACCCAGTTCAGAAACACGAACATGGTTTCAACCGCCACTTTCAACTGGAACAAAATCTGCAAAGAGGGGTCAGGAATTCCACTCAACCCTGGTGATTTGAGGTAGTAACACGCCTATTCCCGGTGCACTGTGGCTGTCGAAATGGCTCATGGCTAGCACACCAAGCTCTCAAAAAAACCCTCCTGTAAACTAACATAGATGTGGAACATCACAATCTTCTATAGGAAAATCATCTATAAATGGGTCATTTTCCACATCTATGAATTTATGTTAGTTTACCCAAGGGTAAATGGAATGATTTTCATGCACGCATCACCGGATATCGTCTTTTTTGCCAAATGATGGGCAGCTGAGTCATTCCTCAGAGGGACGACACAGCTGAAATGCTGAGGCCCAGAGATTCTTCCCGATTCTTCGCAAGTTTGAGAAATTTCTGGATGTCTTTTTGTGATTTTGGACCCAAACAATTGGCCAACCAATAGATTGATTTCCTCTATTGTCATGGGAATGTCTTCATTTGGATGTGGATCAAAATGGAAGACCTAGGGGACCACAGATGTTAGTCTAGTTTAGTATTAACCATCTCTAACTTTGGGGTAACTAATTTTGACCCATACCCATTTCTTGACACGATCTCCATCTCAAATTCATAGGATTTCGCAAGGCCATGTGCTATCCGCAACGCCTAACTTTCCGTCACCAAACATCAACCATAAATGGGGCGTTTCTGTATGATGTATTGAAAAGCAGCAACCATAAGTAGAGGTAGACACAATCATCAACATTCCAATTCTATTGATAATAACCATATAATTAATGATTTATTCCAATAATAACCAGATAATTAATCTGGTATTCCAACTTATTGGTTCTAATGATTTATTCATATTTATTCCAATCAACTAACCGAAGATAATTCTCATGGTGACCCTGGATGGAGGTCGATAGTGGTCACAAAAAGGGTGTGGCCACTGATCGTCTGGGAAATTCGAGTCCCGCGAAACATAAACTGAAACGGGATCTTCATTTATCCTGGTCTGTGGTTACCAACTGAAACATATGAAATCGGTCTGAAATTGATGTTGACATCTCATGATCCCAAGATGAAATTGGTTTATCCCTAAACCAACTGGAAATTGACGATTGGGATCATAATCTGAAGTTTAGGGATGAAATGAAGAATCTTTGAAACCACCAACCCAGTTTAACAGTTAGTGACACTCCCATTTCTTGCTGTTTCATCTATGGGCAAAATATCAATGACTCAATGGTTCATCCCAGTTCAGCCTTCAGGGGAATATATTCGTTGCTATCCCAGAATTACCCTCTGGTACACCAAGAATTTGCAGTGGAAAATCACCATCTTTAAGTTCGGTAAATCAACGCAATGTGCAATTTTCAATAGCAAACTGTCACAAATTACCAGAGGGGTAATCACCACTGCGCGCCAATTGGGATCATCATCATTTTTTTAGGAGTTGAACATTGAAGAAAATCACACCAACCAAAAAAACAACTGGTCACACACCCATAATATCTCCGTTTCTGATGGTGAAATCATGTTCAATCCCCATTTTTGTGTCAAATCTTGACAGGAACATGTTTCAAACCACCAGCCCCTGCAACCCCACTTTGCCAAGCTGCGCAGTTTGGAACAGCCCATGGGCACTAACTCCAGCCTTGGCAACGAGAGGGAGCTGAAGCACTTCACATTTATTGAACAATGAAGAGTGGCTTGATCATTGGCACAGAATTCTTGTCTTGGAATCACAATCTTGGCACAAGAAAAGGTGTTTTCACAAATACCTCAAGTCCTGAGGCCAACGAACTTCTTTCCAGCCACAAACCAATAGGCCATAGTTGGTGCGGCATCCATGGCCAGATATTTCTTGGGATCCCACCTGGAACAAAGATTTTCTGCCAATTTCCAAGCCCCAAAAACGTGGTGAAAACATCATTTTCCAAATGGCCATAGATTGGGATATTCCTGTCCCACCGAGACTGAGATGCTCAACTCCAAGGTCCCCGTGATGTTCAAATCCTGGAAACGGGGACAGGGTTACACGGGTTACACGCCCTAACTCAGGTACCCTGCAACCAAAAGCCGGCCCAGTATCACCATTGCAATAAAAACAATCTTCAGTTCGTTTAGCTACATTTTTTTTTGCTGGCTTCAAAAGGTTGACAATTACATAGTTTCATAAACCCGAAAGAAAGACAATTTTTAGGTGTGTTCCCCCAATTCAAACCATCATTTGCAGTGAGGTCAACCAAGTGAGGTCTGTTGCAAAATCCCTGATATTTCTATATTCCCATCGTATTTCCGTGATATGTCCATGACATTTCCATTATGCTTCCACTATACTTCCCTGATATTTCCGCTATATGCCCATATTCTGGTTTGTTCTATACTCCATTCCAATAGATTATCATATATTATCATAATCTTTCCAAATAAGATCCACATAAATCGAAGGGAAACTTCCGTCATATTTCCATTGTGTTTCCATGAATTTCCCCCTATATCCCCATATTCTAGTTGGTTTTAAACACTGCATTATTGCAACATCAACAGAATTGATTGACTATAGCAACAGCTAGACAGTATATTCATTTGGGGGTTTCCCAAAATAGCGATACCCCCAAATCATCCATTTATAGATAGATTTTCCCTTATAAACCATCCATTTTGGGTATCCCCATTTATGGAAACCCATGGAAACCCCCCATTTTCAACCGTGACTGCATACGTCGTGGTGCCGCACAGCCCCCCCTTCGAAACAGAGCCCGACCTTGGGTCGGGGCGCCAAGCTCATGTGACTGAGACGGCGAGATCGGGGCGGATTTCCGGCAGTTTAACCAACAGAAAAGGGATTATCATGGGATTACCATTGCGTTATTATGGGATTATGATGTGCTTATCATGGGATTAGCTATAACATGGGATGACACTGGGGTTTTAATGCCTTGATTACCATGGGGTTATCATGTTTTTTTTTTTTGTGGCAAGACCAATCATAAACCATCCCCAAGTCATCACCAGAACTGGTTGGGTTTACCACATACCGGTGATCTCTGTTCTCTGTACATAATATGTCTACATGTCAATGGTGGGTAGAAGCCAGAATCTGGGGATATAGCAGGATATCATGGACATATAATTTGATATAGTTGGATATGCATGTGTAAATAAATAAATACATAAATAAATATATATATATAAACATATACATAATATAACCACCAATGTGATATTTGGGTTTGTTCAAACAAGATAAATACTCTTAAATGGCTATCTTCATGGGGATATGATGATAAACAGTAGACTATTCGGAGAACCCTATTTTCGGGCAAACCCAAACGGACAATCATTGAACGAGACTTGAGATACCCTCTCTTGATCTAACTTAGCTATAGGATGGGGTCCCCAAGATAGCTAAGTTGCCTTCTAAGTGGCTGAATTCTATGGTTTATGGTAGATATAACTATAGTTAATGGGATTCTAATCCATTTATAACCCATGAATGGTGATATGTCTATAGTCAATGGGGTTTATAAACCAACTTATAACTGAGAGGCACCATCCTGTATGGAACATGGCCATTTAGTTCGATGATTTTCCAGAACCGAGACAGCCATTGATCATGGCCCGGATTGGCTATCAGATAGTACCGCTGTCCCGGATGATCAACACAGGATTGATACCCGTGGCCCGTGGATGAATATGTTTAATATTCGTCCGAAGGGTGGTGACAATTTCAAGTATAGTGTCTACATCATACCCAATCAACGCTCTTAATTCAGCATGTTATTGGGGACAAACATATGGTTCTGAGTCAACACCCTGTAGCCCTAACATCAAAATAGCCGGGATTTATGGATCTTCATCCCCAAGAAATTGTATCTATAGGTATTGATCTGGGTAAATTATAATATTTCACTAACCTGAATGGTTCGGCCATTTGGGCATGATTTCCCTTATTAACCATGATTCCAGGGTTCGGGAGAACAGTGAGGTCGTTATAATTTACCCAGATTGATCCATAGCCATATCAATCATTCCCATATTTCATCGGTGAATCTAAAGAAACATACAGAGGCCCCCGTTGACGATAGCTAAGTAGATGCACATAACTTGGTTGTTCCGTTCGGGTTGATTTGGGGGAATTTAACTATACTTAATGGGCTTTATAAACTAACCAACATCAATAGAAGTTATCGCATTATGGCTTGATAACTACCCTCTGGTAATTTAACGTAGCTATTGAACATGGCCATAGAAATAGTTGATTTCACCAGTAAACATGGTGATTTTCCATAGTTATGTTAGTTTACCATAGATTTTTCCCATTAAAAATGGTGATTTTCCCATTAACAATGGTGATTTTCCATAAATTAACCAGGAAAAATCCCCATGTTTAGAGGGTCCAACATGGGGGCATCGCCTTGTCGTTACGCCTTACGAAGCGCCGCACCGAACATGGCCATGCCACGCCTCTGCGACAGTGAAGCTCCGGGGACCGAGGTCCGGATGGGACAAGCCTCGAAACTCACCTCCGACGGTCATTGGATTGAAGGGAAAAACGATGGTTGATATGGTAATAATGGTGGTAACTAATCAATGGTAATCATGGTAATAATAGTAAATAATGGGTTTTTTCCATACGGAAATAATGGTAATGACTATGGTTGACTATATAACTTTCAATATACGGTTTCTCCCTATGGTAATAATGGTAATAATAGTGTTGCCATAGTTGAAGGTTTTTATCAAACCATGGCAACTATGTTTTTGTCCAATGAAATTTTGGTTGGAAACTATGGTTTTGTCCAATGAAAGCTGATAGATCTGATAGAATCTTTTGGGTTTGTGAAAAAAGTGGATACACATCTCCAGATGCCAAGAAATGGCTGCACAAGATGTTTCGACTCTGCGACTCTGATAGTCCCAATAACAATATTTCGTTGAACGCACTTGCACTGGATGCGACCTTAGTTATCCTATCTGTTTTATAGTCACCCTCCATTCCACAGGAAGATTCTGGTTCCTAAAATGGTGGTACCTACAAATCATCCAACAATAGACCATTGTAGTATTCACAGCTATGGCGACTTGGGGACCACTGGATTTTTCGTCAGAACCCGTAGCCCGTAGCCCCAAATCCATGGCATTTTCTCAGGTCGTTGCAGCTAGAAATTCTCAGGTCGTCGCTACTTCGCCGGGAAGAAACTTGGTGGACTCTGTGATGCCTTCAGCGATTTTCACAACTGCAACTCAATGGAAATAGCATGTGGTAAACCAACATAGCTATGGGTTAAACATCCATAGCAATGGCTGTGCTACTGCAATATTGTTGGTTTAAACGTTTCCTTGGTGATATGCTGTATTTTTAGACTGTCTACAAGTGCTGTGAGGATCAAAGGCCTTTTTTCCGTGATGGGTTTGCCCAAAACTGGGGGATGGGGCCCCCAAGTTTGTGGAAACACTGGGGGAAAATGATCGAACATTACCCTCTGGCAATTTGTTACATAGCTATTGAACATGGCCCTAATCGAAATAGTTGATTTACCGAACTTAAAGATGGTGATTTTCCGATTTTTCCATCGTTTTTTTTTTTAAATGTTCGTTTACCATTTCGGTTGTTCGTTCAAGTTCGCCATGGTTCACCACGGATTCAGTGATTCGGCACCGGGGATTTCCGTTTCCGGCAACCACCTCTTTGCCAGGTGTGATTGAGAAGAAAGCCAAAGGCCTAAGCTGTGATAGAAAAAGCCGGGACATTGATGAATCTTTGTTGGGGGATATATGTATCATACATAATGTAGGGGACATTTATGATCATTTATGTTTGTTTTATCGCCAATGGGGGAATAAAACCAATCATGATATAGGGACGTAATGGCGTATGTTATAGCATGGGATATTTCTCACCAGCAATCTGATATTTCGGTTTGTCAAAAAATGGCAATTGGGATTTCAATTTGAAAATTGGGGACATGATGATAACCAGCAAATCCTGCGGTAGCCGATTTCAGACAGCCCAGTATGATTTTCAAGCTTGGGTTAGACCATGGTTTCGCACAGTTTGTTCACCATATCTATCTGACATTATCTGATTATCTGTTGGTTTCGACCCGGAACATTTTCTCTAGTTGAGACCATAATTCGAAACAGGGTTGAAGCGTAAAAATTGAAACCATACGGATAGTTTGTGGATGGACTAAATCACCAATTTTGATATTTTTTGATGAACTTTCAATTTTTGACAAAGTTGACCTTTTATTGTTAGTCGAACCCGCACTTTTGACGCTTCAATCACAGCACTCTTGTCACCGACTGTATCCTTCCAGGATCCACTTCAGCGTTGACGCCGTGCACGTCCTCGATCATCAGAACGCCACCGGGGCGGATGGCAGACCACATGTGAACGAAAGTAGTGAACTGATGCTCTGGAACGTGAGAACCGTCGTCCAGAAACATATCGAAACCTTCAGGATACTTTTTCTTGATGTTTTGCCAAAAGTTCGCATCTCCTTGATTTCCAATCTCCAATATTGCTCCCAAATTGTTCCCAAGCTTTGGTGATGTCCAAGCCAGCAGCTTCAATTTTTGGGCATGTTTCCACATCAGCATACTGCCACCTGAATGGATTCCGACCGCCATGGTGATCGGAAAGTAATGGAGCCACTCGTCGATAACCGGTCCTTCCTCGTGGTTCACCCTCCGTATCCTTTGTCGCAACTGGTGTAAACATAGGGTTGGACATGGTTGGACCATGGCTTGCAGGATGTGGCTGGTTTGGAGCAGTGCGGCAGCGTCATTTCAGTGAACCTCCTTTAAGCTTCCATTGCTGCTTTTGCCCGAATACTGACATAGATTGACACTACAAAATACGAAGCTCTCATGGACCGAAGCGCGGAACGCGGGGGGTTCGAAATCAGCTTGAGCCAAAATCCGAATCTTCGTAGCTTCAACCTCTGATGTGTGGAGCTCCAAGACAGCTAAGGTTTCAGCCCAATCTTCGGTGGGGAGCAGCATTTCATCCCTGCGATCAAGGAAAAGTGCCCCTTGTGTCCCCAGTGTTCAGTGAGTAAACTGGGGATCCAAAGGTGGCTCGCATATTCTTTTTTTTAAGCTTTTTCACATGTGAGACACACAACAAGAAACACACATATGAAACCAAAACAATATGAAACAACCACATTCATGGCCAGAATTCGTTTCAGTGAAACTCTACAGAACACTTGCAATCCAATCCATGGGCAGTCCGATGCCTCACTGCCGCGGGTGGATGTGCACCAGGTCCATATGGCCCATCTGCCAGCGGAGCCGCGATTCAGGTCACTTCAAGACGGGATGGGAAATCATCAACAGAAAGAGAGATGTTACATCTAAACTTGGAATAGGTTCTGAAGGTGTACATGTCATGAACACTTCTTTTTAGAACATCTTTGAATCATCATAATTTTTATATCATGATAATCATAATCACCAGAATAGCCATGGGAAATTCACCAAGAATCACCAAGAATCCCCACGGTTTTCACAGGTGGGATTTTCCAAGAGAAATGGTGATATAGACCACTGCTTGGCGGTTGACCTACTCCCCTGAAACATATGAGTTCGTCAATGGGAAAGATGACATCCCATATATGAAATGGGAAAAAACATGTTTAAAACCAACAACGAGAGTAAAATTTCAGTGTGATAAACAACTTTTCCATTTTTTGGGGGGCTACAGTACTATGATTGTCGTCACTGCATTGCTACCCACTGATCTTCCATACTCGGTATCTACTGCAGGATGGTTCTGAGTGAAGCTGGGATGAATACATCACGACTTTTGAATAGAGGGGGTTCTGTATCGATCTAGATCTACCCATATTCGAGAAGAGTTGAACAGATTTGAATAGTTAATCCCTAACAAAACATAACTATTATAGATCATCTTCCGATAGACAGTTCGATGACCCGGATATCAACTCCTCAAGACCCGTGATGCGCACCATCCGGAGGCAGTTTGATGCTGCGATGTTGCAAGCGCTTGACAAAGGTCAAGGGTCCAAACCTGCGGCTTCCGAGACATGGAAACCAGGTGAAAAAAAACAGACCAAAACTGAAGGAGGAAAAAACACAACCACCAAAATCCATCAACAAAAACAATATGACAAATGTTCTTCGAGAAGTTTGTTGCAGTTTGATCAATTTGAACCACAAGACGCTTCCATGAATAGAATGTTAAAAACATGACATGTGACACATATTCGCGCCTCTGTTTCGAGTTCAAGGGTGACATCATTTACCAAGCAACAAGGACTCAGGGATTCCTAGGAACTACTTGGTGAGATGGCATGAAAGCGACAGATTGCTGTATATCTACATCACTGCTTCATTTGATAGTCCGATTCAACAACAATCAGCGAATAACTTTCAATCGGCTGGTTTTGTTGAGAAGTTTCACGGTTGAAACATGTGTCTTGCCATTTCAAAGTTGTTTTTTCCTGTAAACTTTCCCTTCATCCAATTCAGCTAGGTAATACCAACCTTTTTTTTTTGTACGGTACTGTTACGACTATTTTCTAAATACACAAACATTACCCGCAAACTTTGATCCGTTTGGCATCCTGATTGGTCAAGAGTGGGCAAAGTCACCTACTGGAATCGTTGAACCAATCCTCATACGACCAGTTGCTGTCAGTATAACCGCAATGTTCTCATGGCTCTGAAGCATGTTTGTCAATATCTTTAGAACATGTTTCAAATTTCTGTTTTTTGTTTGTACATTTTAGGTTGTCCAACCCCAGATTTCCACTGGTTCATCATTTTCTCATTGGAAAAAGATGGCAATTTTACGCCCAACTCTGCCCCCTATTTGGATGATATCCTCAATAGCACAGGGAGACTTTTTCATGGAAATGCTGGAATCAAGCATCAAAACATGGAACTTTTTAATACTTTTTGGGGGGAAACCCCAGCCCAGCTGTGGTTAGTTTTGGTGAGTTTTGGTGGCCCCGGAATCCACCAACTGTGGTTCAGCTCAGCGAATCTAAGGACTGCACGAAAAATAGCCACTGCCATGACGCTCCACCAGTTTCCATTCCGCTGCGAAGCGGACCTCATCGTGGCAGCCATTGGTTGCTTCAAAGCGGTTGCTTCAAATGGGTATCCTCCCAATAGTTTTTGCAGAATCCCACCATTTTGAGAAATCCCCAGATTGGTTGCTTCAAAGAAATCCCAAGTCGGAGGATTGGCGACAACCAAATGGTCTACGTATCCGAGGGATCGCAACTGCTTAATCCTGGTGAACGTAACTCCCCAACTTGGTGGCTCATCCCACTTAGTAAGTTATATCCCTGGTAAGTGGGACAAGTAGGGTTAATCATGGTTAATCCACTAGGGCTAGGGTTTGAACTAACAACCTACGTCCAAAGGGAATTCCTAGGCTTATCCCATTGGTGAACCAGTTCCACCAGTTCTGATGGGACGACCTTGAATGGCGATGAGGTCGGGTCATGCCCTGCCTCCCAGACTGTGTCTCCATGCACCGGCAAGACGAAGACTGATGGGCCTCGGTGAAACTGATTTTTGTTCCCACATGATGGGCCTCAGAATGTTCATCGTTCTGGGTTTCATGTCCAATCCGGGCTAAAACCTTGGGTGTTCTCTCCAATTTGTGTAGGAATTCCAATTGCCAAGTCTATCCAAACAACTACTATGTTCCTATGGTGGCGACATCATTTTTTTTCCGGTGCAATTTTCGGTCGCGAACTTTCTGCTTTTGAAATTGTGGAGATTCACAAATCTGGCACCTTGACACATGTTTGGATGGGCCTGGCCAGTGAAGTCAATTAGAATTTACCCAGAATATATCATAATGTGGGTAAAATAATGTCATAAACAATCCCCCAGTCATCACCATTTTTATAGGTGGTATGGTTACCATTCCCAGGAAAATGGGTGGTAAAAATGGCATTCTTTTACCCACAAAAAAATGTTAGTTATCCCACGATTCCAGAAAAACAACGAAAAACGTCATGGTTATTTTTGCAACCAGCCACTGTTCCGGGTAAATTATATAATTAGTATTAATTCATACATATCTGGTTGGTGGTATACCTACCCCTCTGAAAAATATGAGTTCGTCAGTTGGGATGATTATTATTCCCATATATTATGGAAAGTCATAAAATTCCATGGTTCCAAACTTTCCAAACCATCAACCAGTTGGGGTAATTAATCATGTAATTCATCATAATCGGAGGTTTCCAATCCATGGAGGCACCCCCGAATCATCCAGTCGTCATGAACGACCACAACTTAGTATTGAAGCAACCTGCAGGTGACGACTGGGGATCCCATATTTTAAGACAGCCCCCATATGGTTTAGGTATTGGTTTGATTGTGACTCTCTCTCTCTCTATATATATATGCACATATATATATAATATATATCTACACTGTGTATATATATATATGGTACCACCCCAAAAAACGACGTTTTTGAGGTCGCAACGCTTTTGGGACAAATTACCCTGTTCAGTTTGAGTTCCAGTGGGGGGTACCATATATATATATATATATATGTATATATATACACACATGTGTGTATTAATTGTTGTCTTACTGTTGAACCCAGGTACTTAGAGCAATTTTGTCACCAGAAGCGTTTGCAAACGTTTGCAAACGAGACTGGCTCAGGATTCAAGATTTAAGATTCAAGATCCAAAAAAACTTCTTGAATCCCGGGGGGTACTATATATATATATGGTACCCCCCACTGGAACTCAAACTGAACAGGGTAATTTGTCCCAAAAGCGTTGCGACCTCAAAACCGTCGTTTTTTTTGGGGGGGTACACACACACATATATATATATATACATACATACATATCTGAAACTGTTTCGGGATACCCTTGCCATTCTCAGTCGAGCCCCAAACGTTCACCACTTGGAATGGGAAGTGGTCCATGGCTCCCATGCACCTGAAACAAGGTGCGCACCTAACAGATGAAAAAAATATGAGGCTTTTCATAGTCATGGTTGGTTTATAAGGGAAGATATGGGAGATCTTTTGGGATTTCATGGTAAACCAATGGTTTTTTTGGTGTTTATAATGGGGTTTTATGGTGACTTAATGGGAATGAATGGGATCTAATGAATCTAGTGGGATGATATGTGGGAGTTTCCATAGTCATGGATAATGACTGCGGGTACCCCATGACTTAGGAAACCGCCATGTCATTTTTTGCTGGTGATGGTTATTTTCCATTTAGAGCAAACAACTAAAGGATTAAACGAGCTATCTAAGGTTGGAGATGACATATGGAATTTCCAAAATTCGATAATGGATTATGACAATTTTCCAATATTTTTGGGATAGTATAACCCCTTATAACAATAAAAACACCAGGGCTTTTGAACATGGCTCACATTTGACAGCTCTCATCCATTTCCTTTTTATGAACGCAGTTACCCCCAATGGATTTAAATGAAGCTTTGCCTGAAAATTGGGTAGCCCTGAATCACCGGTTGCTCATCATCCCTATACAATGGCCACTTGGCAATGTAGATTTCGTCTGCGCATCACCAAAGAAATGTTGACTGTGACGCCTTGCTCACCGTTTGGAATCATCGAAAATAATACTATGCGATTGATCATGGTTGGTTTTCATGGAAATTCCTAGCTCATGGATTACGATATTCCTCAACTATCCTGAACTAATATAAAGGCGAGTTTAACCCCCCTGTTGATCAGCAACCATGTGTTGTAAACTGCTAAACTGCTGTTTTCATCAATTCCCATAATCCAACTACTGGAGGTGTGATTCAAACTACCAGCCCTTTGGAAAGATCAAAAATGAGCTTCGTCGTGTGTGAGAGTTGAGCGTGTTGAGTTGGGTCAAAACCCACTGTTGACTGGGATTGGTTCTACAGGTTTGTTGTCAAGAATTCCTGTTATACCTCATGACTCATATCCACTTCCCAATAAAACTTAAACCATCAAGCACAAGGATCCGCAACGGGTTTGTTCAGGATTCTTCGCATGCAAGCTTAAATCCGTTTGTTATCCTGGAGTGATCTTTATGATGACCACCATTAAACCAGCTTTTTTTAATATCGTCCCTATCGTCCCAGTCCCGCCATTTCCGGGTGATGAAACGCATCCCCCAAAAGCCAGGCGCGGCGCCTGCGAACGTTGCAAGTCCGCCCACTGTGGTACTCGCACCAACAGTTGGAACCTGGGAAATCACCATCCAAAGCACGAGACAACGAGAATCCCATACTTTGGTCCCACCGTTTGCTAAGTTATCTGGTTGGTGGTTGAGCCCTACCTACCCCTCTGAAAAATATGACTTCGTCAGTTGGGACGATTATTATGCCATACTATTCCCATATATCATGGAAAGCCATATTCAACATGTTTGAAACCACCAAGCAGTTATGCTAAGTTGCTTTATAACCAGCCTAATGTTTGGGATGGTATATTGAGCTGGTTATGAAGCAACCATTTCACGGGGCACCGCAACACCAAATGCAATGCATCGATCCTCAGTCTCTGACGGCACCTTCGCTTTTCGAACGATATAGCGCAAGGGGGCCTTTCGTCAGCTATCAATTTGGGGTTGGCGCCACTGTGACAAATCATGCTGGAATTTCTCCAAATTTGCCCTTTCATCATTGAATTTCATGAACAAATCTCCAATTAAGTGTAAGCGCGGCATTACCCTCAGGTGCCAATCCCAATCCAGTTTTAAACAGACTGCCCCACTGTTGGCTATTTGGAGGGGCCATGCCGCCGTAATTTAACCGATCCTCTGGGGCCTCAGGATTGAATGGGTAGACCGTGTCCAATTCCACCTGTGCCATGGAACCCCGGCCATGAAAAATTCACGTCACTGCGGCGCTGGGAACCTCCGGAGGCACCTTCCAAAAGAACAAACTTCCCAAGAATCTGAAGTTCGATTTTGAATTGGTGATATGCTGGTAATCATGGGTTGAACCCCCTAGTTACTAGTTGCTGCATGTTAAGCAGCCCCTTGTTGTTTGTCAAATACTGCCTTGTTGTTCCTTCAATCTTCGCAAAAACATCAGCTTTTACGAACAACTAAATGCAGGTTTCTGCAAGTGAAGTAGCCCTTGCTTGCTCTACAGCGCCTCAAAAACTATGCTGAACAGCGACAAATGAGATACCCTCTGGTAAACATACAAAAAACTATGGAAAATCACCATTTTTAATAGGTAAAATCACGTGTTTCTATGGCCATTTTCAATAGCCAACTGTAACAGTCATTACCAGAGGCTAGCGTTCTCTGGTTTCTTTGGACCAAGCTCTGGGTGAAACCAAACCCTTCGCCTGCTAAAATGACACAGAAATGGTACCAAACTACCCTCTGGTAATTTAACAAAAAGCTATTGAAAATGACCATTTATAGTGGATTTACTCATTAAAAATGGTGTAAACATACAAAAAGCTATTGAAAATGACCATAGAAATAGTGGATTTACCCAGCTATAAATGGTGATTTTCCCATAAGTTTTTTGTATGTTTACCAGAGGGTAATGTCCTGTCGTTATGTCAGTACTTCTGGCCAAACAAAATCCGATTCCTCCGACAGGCAGGTGATTTATCCACAGGTGACCAGTGACATCATGTCGACCCTTGGTCCTTCTTGGTCCTCCATCCATTTTGTAACCCATCCCACGCTCCTCTTTCTTGCTACATATGCTACATATGTAATATAAAAATATATAAAATGCCAATTTCTTTCTGGAGAAATCCAATCTTTTGGCTGAGATTCGTAAATTTCTTTTTGGTGAAATACACTTAAGTTTGGCTGATGAAAAATATCATTTCTTGTTGGTTAAATAATATCACAGTTTCTTGATCAATCTCACAGTTTCTTGATGACATCATATCATATACATCCCAATTTATTGCTCAAAACCTGCTAAACTCCCCACTATTGGTGATTATATCATATAACATATATAACATCAACTTTTCTTCGCAAAATTCCTAGTCTACACCGTTTAGAGGGCTAAACCCACCATGTAATCCACCACTTTTGCTGGCAATTACTGCCATCCACCTGGCCTCGCCCTCCAAAGGCCAAGGCAGTCGCACCATGGATGGTGCGAAGGCGGCCGAGAGGAGCAAAGGCCTTGGCAGCAAAACCGGTGGAATCAACCACCCAAAAAGGTCAACAAAAAGGGTCGGGATTTCACTACTATTTTCGTGTAAAGGAAATGGATTTCACCAACGATGGTCACTGGATTCAATCAACAAACATGCTTCCAACATGTTCAAGACAGAGGGATTGAACTTGATTGCACGAATTATATATTGAACACAAATATCTAGTATAGTATATATACTATTATATACTATATTGAACTTGATTCAATGACAAAATCGTCGAAATGAGCTCCCCGACATCTCCATCTCTCCGCCGCCTCAGTGAGTTGATGAAATTTGATGAACTCAGTCAGCAACAAGTCATAACCACTATTTAAAGGTCCCACAATAATTGTGGAATGCTATTGGTATAAACAAAACCTATACTAATATGCTGAATATGCTATTGAATTGGTACACCTAATAAATCATAACTGAACATTCAATAAACCCCCACTATTATACTGGTTGGTGGTTGACCTACCTCTCTGAAAAATATGAAAGTCAGTGAGTATTATTCCCAACTGAATGGGAAAATAAAAAATGTTCCAGACCACCAACCAGTATAGTAACCATTCCTGATCACATCCAGAGATTTTTAAGGCACACCCTGAGTATAGACTACTGATTGACGGTTGAAACAGTTTCCAGCTGTGAATGGTGATCCTTATGGTAAGAACATTTTCTACCAACATGAAAACACACATACATGTTAACACATATGTGTAGATTCTGTATAGAAGCACATATCAGCAATATATATAGAATACATACATAAACATTGCTGTTCTCAGCAATATATTGAATATATATATATATATATATCTACGTGTGTATGACAAACACATCCATTGCTGTGCTCAGCCGCCAGACCGTCGAAGAGCCACAGACCCAAGGCCTTGCTGTTGCGGGATGAAGGCACGCCTGAAGGACTGTCCCCTAGGAAAACAAAACATATCAAATATGTGTGTATATATATATATATGATACTATATATATATGTATATGATACTGTATATATAAATAAATAAATATATATATATATGTATAGCCAGCACTACGGTTTCCTTTCTCTTTGACATCCTTTTTTTTTGGGGGGGGCTCCAGGCTCCGTGTGACATCCATTTCGATCTCGGGCAGCCGGACCACAAACTTCCCCCAGCCCTGGCCGAAGTTCACCGTGCAGCAGGGGAAGTTCCTCGGCCACGGTGAGGGCCACGGTGGTTCATTGGGCCACGGTTTAAGGGAAAATCTGAACCGGAAACCATGGGTTTTTACCATTAAATATAGGGCTTTCCGGTTAAAATTTTCCCATCCAATTCTATGAGTGGTGTTTACCCAACTATATATATATATGGATATGGAATATGAAGTCATGTGGGTAAAACAATCATAAACCCCCACTCATCAGCATTTTTATAGGTGGGATTAAAACCATTCCCAGGAAAATGGGTGGTAAAAATGGCATTGTTTTACCCACATTAGCTATGGATCATTTCCATCCATTCCCTACCCATGTTTAGCAGCTCTATATGGGATTTTGTAGCTTGCTTAGGCTTTATTTTTATCAACAAAAACCATGTGAGATGAGTCAGTAAAGTAGCCATTCAGCTGGTTTTTCCCTGCTGGGGGCTAGAATCTAGAACTGGTGGATGGTGGATGATGCCACCCCAGGTTGAAAAATCTGGGGGTTGATATGATCTGCAAAGAAATTTTTCTTCAATGTAACTACTAGCCATTGAATGTACCTTCTGGTAGATATAGAAAAATCTATGGAAAACCACGATGTTTAATGAGTAAATCAACTATTTCTATCGTCATTTTCAAGTGATATAAGTAACACCAACAGAAAAGTGAGTGATATAAACAGCACCGTTTTGTCGGATATATCCGACAAAACTTGCTGATGTAACTGATAGATCAGGGTGATACAACTACGACAAAACGGAGCAATCTAATATTGAAGACGCCATAAATAGATAGCAATGGTCCTAAATATGGGTAAATCCCCTACTAAACCATGGTTTCTGTGGGGTGTTTGTTGTTAGGGGGAAGGGATTACTCAAGAAATAATGTGAAGCAGGGTTGCGAACTATGACATCTACCGTGCCCGCTCCATGCCGCTGTCCAAATACACCAGCTGAACCTTCACGTATTCCAGCATTTGTGTACGTTCATATAAATATATGTCCCACAACTTGAACATCAGTATAAGGAACATACTTTCCACCCGTGCCCCCCCAGTTAGTCAAGTTGGTCTATAACTAGGCTAACTAGGATTTATGGTGGATATATGGAGGTTTCCAAACATGGGGGTACCCCAAAATCATCCAAGTTACGTCTGCATGACCATAACTTTACATTGAAACCTATGGTGACTTGGGGATCCCCCAGGGGTGCATAAACGAACTACTCGAATTCCTGTACATTCTGATGGCGGAATTTCATCAGCTGAGTCTTCCAACGGTGAGAGGCCGTAGACCGTGGCATCCAAACCCACATTGCCAAAGACCTGACCGATCTCAGACAAAGATCCCACCAAAAAAACACCACTGGCAGATGAGTTTCCATGGCATTTCGCTGTGAAGAAACTTCAAGGGACTAGGCCTCCAGTTTGCATTCGATCACCCGGCTGTTTTTGCATCTAAGTTGGTGAGGCCCCGAACGATAGCTACGTTGACTTATGACTTGGTAGGGTTTAGGGTGGGATATAACTAGGGTTAATGGGTTTAGAAACTCACTTTTTTTCCTGGGGGGGTCTCGCCCTGCAAGATTTATGATAGATATATCTGGATGTGGGTCAAAATGGAAGACCATTAATGGGACCACAGATGTGAATGTCTAGTTTAGTATTAACCATCCAATTATTGGGGTACCTAATTTTGACCCATACCCATCTATAGTTAACGAGGTTTATAAACCAACTTACAAGTGTGGGGCAAACAATCCATTGAAAAGGGTAGCGACACCAATTTTGACTCCAGCCTAGTGAGAAATATCGGAAGATTTGCGATGTTGCTTGCAGCGACCAGGGAGGTTGACATCAATCCCCGGAATTTAGATACATGGTCTGGATACGCAATCTTAGACTGTTCATGATTACAGATACACAACCTGGATAATTGGGTTGTAACATGTTGTAACCAATCATTGATAGGTTTGGATACATAATTATCTGGTTTAGGGCCCAAAGCGCTTTTTCTGCCTAGACACGGGAATGATTTGATGCCCAAATTCACTCAAGCTGCAGGCTTTGATCGATAATTCCCAATTGAAGCTGTTGTAACTCGGGTATCCACCATTTCTCAAACAAACCAAAGTCATGACATGATCCCATCACATTCCAGTAATATTCCATTATATGACAATTACCCTCTGGTAATTTAACATAGCGAACTGGAAAATCACCATTTTTCATGGGAAACTCGACTATTTCTATGGCAATTTTCCATAGTTATGTTAGTTTACCAGAGGGTATATCCCGATATCCAATTCTATCCGCATGGTTTTTCCCGTTTTTCCCATTGGATCTGGGCCTCCAACCACCTCCATCCCGAAAAATCATCTGGCCTCCGACATGATTGGCTGTGTGTCATCAGCATTGACTGACTCCTGGGCGAGGTGCCATGTAAAAATTGTGCATATGAGGAGAAACAAAAAAGAGGTGTGTAGAATCATCAAACTATATATATATATGTAAAACATGTAATATATATATATATATGCAAATGATATGTATATCAAACATATTGTCTATCCAGAAAAGGATCTATGCATCTATCTGTATCTGCATATACAGTATCTATATGCAGAGCATATTTACGCATCTATCTGTATCTGCATATATCTACATGCACATATGCACAAAAATACAACCTGGTGCCACAATCCATAGTGTGTCCAAACAAATCTGGCCCCAAACTTTGGAACCCTCTGAGCAGCTCGACAATGCCGGTGTAGATGGCATTGCTCTGGGTCAAATACCTCGCATGGAGAGTGGGGGTTATCGGCCTATTGGCGCCCTAGTTTTCACATCAAATGGCAAATGGATGCTCATTTTCCCGCAATATGGTGGGATTTTGATCCAACATTTCAATAAACATATCCCTCTGATCATTCCACTGGAAAATGTTCATGAACTCTTGAGCACTGCTCGTATAAGATACCATCATTCTGTATTAACCAATGGCTCGTTAATCCCATGAAGCCCTGTTAAATGAAATCCCATTGAACTATGATACTATCCATATTCAATCTCCAAATAACCATCATATATAGACCACCATCAAATATTATCCCCATCAAACATTCCATATTCCCTATATAACCATAGAACCCTTGAATTTTCCCTCTCTCTCTCTCTATATATATATATCTTTAAAACTATAGAATCCCTATGATAACCATAGAACCCTTCACCATTAGTTGATTAGGTGTTAGACAATGATTTCTATTTCTCTATCATAAAAGTGCCTTTATATAATTAGTGCCATTAATATCCCCATTTATACATTGTAGAATATCACCATTGGTGTTTCTATATATAATCCCTAATTATCTAATTATATATAATCTCTATATACAATCCCTGTATATCACCATTATTATCCCTATATATATATATGGGTATGGATCAATACCTATTAATACCATTTTTAGTGGGATGAACATTCATTTACCAGCTATTTTGATGTTCACCAGGGGTACAAGGTTTTGACACACTGCCATATATATATATACACAATCCCTATAATGACCATAGAACTTTCACCATTCCCGCACTTGGACTTCGCTTGACCACGGCACTGATGTGTCCAGTGATCCTCCGACACCGCGGCCGGCAAGGCGTTGAAGGCCAAACGTTCCAAGGCGTCGATCAACTCGGGCCTTTCTGAACTGAAAAAACATGGAACATTGAATGGATACTGGTTAGTAGTGGTTAGTAGTGGTTAGTAGTGGTTAGTAGTGGTTAGTAATGGTTTTATGGTGACTTTTCATGGGATCTAATGCGATTTACTGGGATATACCATCAACCAGGTTATTATTAACATTTATTTATTAACCATCAACCATTTGATAACCATTAATAATTATTAACCATTATTAACAGTGTATTAACAGTATAATAACCATATGGTGTCTATGGATACCCTCTGGTAAACTTACAAAAAGCTATTGAACATTGCCATAGAACTAGTGGATTTACCCATCAAACATGGTGATTATCCATAGTTTTTTGTATGTTTACCAGAGGGTAAAGGGATATGCCAAGGGGAAAATGAATCCTATCAAATATGGTTGATACATTTCCTGAATCCGCAGAGTGGGTTTCTTGGGGGCTATTTAATATTAGGATAAGGGGAAGAGATGAATGTATACTGGAATCGTGGATAACTTATTGTTTTGAGGTTTTTCATTTTTCTGGTGCTAAACATAGGGAATGGGAGAATGATCCATAACTATGATGAATAATCATCCCATTCCCCCATTTTTCCTACGTTTAGAACCAGTAAGTTTGTTCTTGGTGTCTTAATGGTTTTGAATGGTTTTCCAATTGCATGTTTAACTCTTTTTGCTTTATGTTTCAATGTGTCTTTTTGTAATGGTCTTGAATCTTGAAGTATTGTTATAATGGTTGTGCATGGTCCATGGTAATAGCGATGATGTTTATCGGTTTTAAACGGCTTTTGGTGGTAATGAGTTATGGTCAATCGTTGAAGATGGCTATGAATAAACACGTAATAATGGTCGAACTTATTGTGGAATGGTATTGGTATAAACAAAACCTATACTAATATGGTATTGAATTGGTACACCTAATAAATAGTAAGTGAATATTCAATAAACCCCCACTATTATACTGGTTGGTGGTTTCAATCCCCCTGAAAAATATGAAAGTCAGTTGGGATTATTATTCCCAACTGAATGGAAAAACATGTTCCAAACCACCAACCAGTATAGTAACTATTCCTGATCACATCCAGAGATTTCTAAGGCACACCCTGAGTATTTTTAAGGCACACTTATTAGGTACTGTCAATAAACCAATACCATTACTATGGTAATACCTATAACTGACTATTCTATCATGCTACTATTATAAATACCATATGTGAGGCCCCCCAGTTATAAGTTGGTTTATAAGCCCCAGTAACTAGTTCGTTATTTGCGTACCATAAACCATAGTGAAATTGGAGTTATGTTCACCAACTTAGCTATCGAACGGGGGCCTCACATTGTAGATATAGCATGATATAGCATGGTAATACCTATAACTGACTATTCTATAATGGTACTATTATAAATACCATAGTAATGCTATTGGTTTTTCCACCTCCACTTCACCGAAAAAAAAACTGTAAGCCGCCTGTCCGGCAGTGCAGCGTAAGATTCTTCAAGGCTCCTCATGGATTCCACCACCACCTGGGCGATTCCAATGTCAGCGTCGTCAATTTTTTGGGGGGATTGGAACCAACTAAAATGGGGAAACCGTGAGAATTTTGCCATGTTTTTGGGCATTGAACCAACTAAAATGGGGAAAACAATGGAAAACAATGGAGTTTTTTTTTTTTGCAAAAAAAAGCGACAAATTGGTTTTATAATGTTTTATATGATTATTTCTTGGCAAGAAATTTGTGGGACTTGACAGAACACATGATTTCATCAACATCGGATTTAAGGTGGCGAAGAATTAGATTCAACGAGTGGATTCCTGCACTTTTTTTTGGCCCAGCCTCTCGATTTGATTTGCGAAAACATGATTTACATGTTGCATTTTCGTTGGCCAAGAACTCATATTTTTTCCATCACATCCTATTTCTGTTGGCGACTTTCCGGGCGCCAAACCCCATGTTCCTTCAAAATGGATGGTTTAACACTAGCAATAACACATTTTGTTGGTTCATTGGTGCCCAACTGTTGATCCTGACAGTTGGGTATTCTGCTTGGCATAACCCCCATTGCTTGAGCGTCTCTGGAAATAGGCGAAATAAGTCAAAACAATTGCAGCTTTCAAAGGGAAATCATGGGAGCATGGTGATAAACCCTAGGTTTTACCGACATTGATTTCGATGGGAAATCATAGAAAAGATACCCTATGGTGATAAATTACCCTCTGGTAATTTAACATAGCTATATTATAAAATCACCATTTTTAATAGGTAAATCCACTATAAATGGCCATCTTCAATAGCTTTTTGTATGTTTACCAGAGGGTATTTCTTTTTTTCTCACCATTTTCAAAGAATACCCATCTTGGGGCGGCGGACGCAGAGCTCCGTCCCCCGGAAGGCATCGGAGCCGGCCAAATGTTCCTGCCGAGCTCGGAAAGTCTCTTGAAGGGGGTCCAATTGACCAATGGTAGACATGTAACTGGGGATATTCATGGAATAAATATGAATAAACATCAATAAACGATATAACTATGGAATAACTATGGGATAACTATGAATCTATAGAAATTCATGGGCTATTGATGGGATAATAAACCCCAAATAGATGCCGAAAAGTGCGCCACCAGGATGCTATAGATGAAATTTACCTCATATTTCCACAAATTTTTGGGATTCCAATTTTTCCATCTATCTTGGGGCTGCTATGTAATGTAACTGGGGATATCTTAACTGGATCACATGGTGACGCACAATATCGATGCTTGGGATGTACCTACTAACAATGCACTGGGGGTTCCTAAGCCATGGGAGTACCCCAATAGCTTGATGCTTTGCAATGGAAAATCCGAAAATAAACCGGATGATTTGGGGGTACCCCTATGGATTGGACACCTCCATATGTAACATATGGATACCACCACAACAGGGACACATTCAGCCAAGTGTCATCGGCGCCAAAGCTGCCAGAAGGGAGACCATGGTGCTGTGAAAGCCGTTGCCAGGCAAAGAGAGATGCCTGACGCATTGGAGCGCAGGAAAAAGCGCCTGGAAAATGCGAGGATTTTTGAATGATTTCACCAGCCAAAATGGGGTCCTGATAAGTCCCATGAACAATCTATTCACACATGGAATTTTGCACCATAAAATGGAAAACAATGCTTTAATAGGGGTACCTTCACAATGACCGAAAATATCTTCATGACAACCCCCATTAAAACATATCAACACCTTTTGACGCTCAATCCCTCATCCGGATTTCATCTCATGACATCCCCATAAAAAAACGACCATTTTTCTCGGTCAAGTCCATTCAATTTTCGTGAACTCCCCATTTTTCACGGTGAACGCTTCATTTTTCGCTGGTGACGCTCGGGCAATGTAACTTAGCTCTTGAACATGGCCATAGAAATAGTTGATTTACCTATATTTACCTATATTTACCTATTAAAAATGGTGCTTTTTCATCTTTTTCCATAGCAAATTCTGAGTTTACCAGGGAAATCTCCATTTTTTGCTGGTGAAGTCCCCATTTTCCCCATCAAAAAGCGCCTCTGCCAGCTCCGGGGGACCGTAGACGTGGCTCCAGGCGGCGGCCCACTTCAGCGCCACGGCGTTGTTGACACCGTGGGAGTAGAGGCTGAAGTTGGAGGGGCCTTGGAAAATCACCCATTTTCTAGGTCAACACATGGTAAAGCATGGTAAAACCATGGTAAAAAGCTGGTAAAACGTGGTAAAAACATATAGTCAACCATCCGTAAATGGACCATATTGTTGTGGTGAAAAAAAATGTTATTTTTTATATGGTGTCAAAAAATGGAGGTTAATGAAGTTTTAGTGGTTAACAGGGAGGTTTCCTGAACATCCGACCATGGTGGTGAATAGTGGTTTATATCGTTGGTTAATGGGCTGGAAATCATTGGTTCAACAGTTGGAGGACTTGCCCCAGGCTAAGTTGACGCACATCACTTGGTTAAGGATTGGGTTGATAGTAGATATAGGTAGATATATCCAACTTCTTACTACGGTTTATAAACCAAGTTATAACTGGGGGGGCACCACTTTGTCGGAATAAATGCAGTTTTTTTTTGGGTTAGGCATGGTTTTATGGGGTTAATAGAGGCTAATCATTCATGGGCAAACTCACTACTATGCTGAGCTATGTGATATTCAAATTTTTCATGCGATTTGTAGGTTGGTAATGGATTAATTAACACTGGATTAACAAATGGAATAATAATGGATTCCTATATAATCGATTGATAATGGGTTTATTGACGATCCAAGGGTCTCTGAAGTTGATCTTATTTTATTTTACCAACAACAAAGAAAAGTGCCGGCTGACCTCCTTTCTCTTTGTCGATCAACCAAATCGAGGTTTGACGCTTACATGATTTTTTCCTTTACCAACCGATAATCACATTCTCACCTGCCAAAATATGCGAGTAGCAAAAACTGGGATCATCAATGGTCAGTAACAAGGGGCCAATACATCCAAAAATCACTGGGATATGTCCCATTTCTGCGGGTACATGATCCCGAGAAACTCATCCCAGCTGGACTACAGATTACTCCTGAAAAGTGGTTGAGTATCCCATCCAAGGAGTTGCGGTTTGGTCCTGGTGAAGCTGAAAACGTCCCCGATTCCATTTGGGCTCCATTTGTAGATAGCTACCAGGTTCTACGTCCACAAAAACTCACCAGCTATCAAACCCAATCAATTATCACCATTTATATCATCTATTAACTATCTTTGTTTTCACCGAGATTCCGACATGCTCAGCATGTCGTAACTCACCACCTTAAAAAACCCGACCTCGTGGGATGATCCCAGGTCTCCCAACCCACGAGGTCGGTGGGAAAACTGCCATTGAACCAGTTCTGCCAATCGTAGCCTTGCCTCACGAGGTCTCTCACGAGAAAAATCAACACCCTCAGATGCGTTTTTTTTTCACCGGCGCATCGTTTATGGCGCGATGCCCAAAATATCTCAAAGAACAAAAGGGTTATGGCTTGATCATGTGATTCACGAACCGAAAAAAATGGACGGTTATTTTGGGATGATTCCCCATATTAACCATGATTCCAGCTTTCTGACTTTGAATTTCTAGTTGCAACAACTGGTTTTGGGACGATGATGTGACTTGAACATGGCCATATTATGGTGGCCTTAGGTTTGGATAGGGTGAACAGAACCACCCATCATCTGTGGGGACGTGTCATGAATTTCAATACTAAAATGGTCTGAGTTTGGATGATTCGGGGTACCCCCATTCCCATTGTAGGAAACCTCCATGAAAAATGGATGTATTATATACAAAAATGTTTTTCCCGAATGCGTAGCAAGGGTTTCCGTTTCACTCTGGGGGTCTGGGGGTTGAGGGTGTGTTCGCTCGACGTTGCCTTCACGGTCGCAACCGTCCGCAACCGTCCGCAACCGTTCGTGTGAGGACCGTATGGCCGTGCCTATGGGAAGTTCTGCAGGAGGGATCATTTTTGGAGGTTTCAGACGTCTGGTTGCTTCGTTTCGCGTGGCAGGCGTGGCACTTCGTGACATTCAGCAACGTTCTGTAACGTGTCGAAAGTCGTTTTGTGTGGCAGGTGCAATACTTTTGCGACGTTTTGCGAAGATGCGTGGCAGATTTCGTGCCAGGCGCAGCACTTTCGACGTGTCCATCGTCATTTTTCGTGGCAGGCGCAGCACTTTAGACGTGTCGTGTTGCGTGTTTTTTGTAAATCGCATTGGCAGGGCTGCGTCAAGTGGCGACAAGGTGCAAATTCCGTGGCAGTCATGGCATTTTGTGCGATGTGCTGAAAATTGACGGAAGCCTCGCACGAAACATCGATTTTGAGGTTGCAAATTTTCATGTTCTAAGGAAAACTCGTAGGAAAACGCCGATTTTGAAGCTACAAAGTGTGAAAATTGGAGGAAGTCTCGCACGAAATGCTCGTTTTGGTGCTTCCGCCTGTCTCGTCTCGCGTCATTGGTTTTATGGTTGTTTCGCCGTTTCTATGGGGGAAGCTGCAAAACATGTCTCTTCGGCATGTTTCAAAGTGTGAAAATTGGAGGAAGTCTCGCACGAAATGCTCGTTTTGGTGCTTCCACGTGTCTCGTCTCGAGTCTCTGGTTTTCCTGTGGTTTCGCCGTGTCTATGTGGGAAGCCGCAAAACCTCTCTCCTTTTCGAAGGTTTCCACGCAGGTTGTCATGTCGTTTTGCGTTGCAGGCGTGGCACTTTGTGACATTCCAACCTGTTTAATAACATGTCGAACATGTAAAAATTGGAGGAAGTCTCGTACAAAATGCTGATTTTTCTGTATCCACATATCTTGTCTCGAGTCTCTGGTTTTCCTGTGTCGTCGCCGTGTCTATGGGGCAAGCTGCAAAACATCTCTTTTTGAAGGTTTCCAAGCAGGTTGTCGTGTCGTTTTGCGTGGCAGGCGTGGCACTTCGTGACATTCCAACCTGTTTGCTAACGTGTCGAAAATGTCAAAATTGGAGGAAGTCTCGCCCGAAATGCTCGTTTTTCCTGCACCCACGTGTCTCGTCTCGAGTCTCTGGTTTTCCTGTGGCGTCGCCGTGTCTATGGGGGAAGCTCCGCACTCCACACTCTACATTTTACACTCCACACTCCACAATTTACAATATAGACTCCACACTTTACACTTTGCACTTTACACTCCTGACTCCTCACTCGAGACTTTACACTCCACACTCCACACTTTACACTCCACACTCCTCACTCTACACTTTGCACTCTACACTTTACACTCTACACTTTACACTCTACACTTTACACTCTACACTCCACACTTGACATTTTACACTCCAGACTTTGCACTTTACACTCCTCACTCCACACTTTACACTCCACACTTTACACTCCACACTCCTCACTCTACACTTTACACTCTACACTTTACACTCTACACTCCACACTTGACATTTTACACTCCAGACTTTACACTTTACACTCCTCACTCCACACTTTACACTCCACACTCCTCACTTTACACCCCACACTCCTCACTTTACACTCCACACTCCACTCCACAATTTACACATTATACTCCTGACTCCTGACTCCACACTCCACACTCTACACTCCACACTCCACACTTTACACTCCGCATTCCCCACTCCACAATTTACACATTATACTCCTGACTCCTGACTCCACACTCCACACTCTACACTCCACACTCCACACTTTACACTCCACACTCCACACTCTACACTTTACACTCTACACTCTACACTCTACACTCCACACTTTACAGCTTAAATTCCACACTTTACACTTTACACTCCTCACTCCTCACTCCACACTCCACACTTTACACTCCACACTCCACACTCTACACTTTACACTCTACACTTTACACTCTACACTCCACACTTTACACTTTGCACACTCCACACTCCACACTTTACACTCCACACTCCTCACTTTACACTCCACACTCCACACTCTACACTTTACACTCCGCACTCCACACTCCACACTTTACACTTTACACTCCGCACTCCTCACTTTACACTCCACACTCCACACTTTCCACCCCACACTCCGCACTCTACACTTTACACTCCACACTCCACACTCCTCACTTTACACTCCACACTCCACACTCTACACTTTCCACCCCACACTCCACACTCTACACTTTACACTCCACACTCCGCACTTTACACTCCACACTCTACACTTTACACTTTACACTCCAAACTCTACACTTTACACTCTACGGCGCTTTACACTCTACACTCCACACCCTGCACTCTACAATTTACAAAATCCACACTCCTCACTCTACACTTTACACTCCACACTCCACACTCCTCACTTTACACTCCACACTCTACACTTTCCACTTTCCACTCCACACTCCACACTTTACACTCCACACTCCACACTCTACACTTTACACTCTACACTTTCCACCCACACTCCACACTCTACACTTTACACTCCACACTCCACACTTTACACTCCAAACTCTACACTTTACACTCCACACTCTACACTCCACACTCCACACTGCAGACTGGTAACAGGGGAAATATGTACAAGCCTGTTCAACTAAACTATTGCAGAAAAGTGTTCTGCGTGATTGCAAATCCATGTGTTTTGACATCTGTACCATTAACATACGTGTTAGCATTCGGGTTCGTGGGCTGCATCTTGTTTTTTTTTCGTATGCTGAAATTATAAAGTGGGTATTGTTGACTATGTACACAAAACTGTTGTGCTTGTCATGGGAAAATTCACGGACCCTCGATGCAACCACTTGGATCTTTTCATCGCCCATGGAGAAAATCCCCTCGATGGCTTTGACTCTGATCGGCTGTCAAGTTCGATCTCCATGTTAGTTCCTGCCTTCTGTGGTCAAATTTTGACTTAGAAACTCTCTGATTTGATTTTGGATGTATTCATTCATTGGGCCCGCAGCTTTGGGGATAATTCAAGAAACTGTGGGCATATAATTACTGGTTGGTGGTTGACCTACCCCTCTGAAAAATATGAAAGTCAGATTGGATCATCATCCCAACTATTGGGGAAAAAAACCATGTTCCAAACCACCAACCAGATTAATATATTGGCTATGATACATTTCCGGACGGTTGAACCATACTGAATATGATTAGATATATTCTCATGAAAAATTGCTGAATACGCCACCGTTAATAATGGTTAGATCGCCATATTTTTGGGTCAAAGTATATTAAACTACACTTTTGGACAGGCAATCCTCGCATTTGATGTTCAAACCTATTGTTAATAACCATCAAAGACTATTCACCCATTACCAACCATTACTAAACATTACGAACCACTACTAACTGGAAAATCACCATTTTTAGTAGGTAAATCAACTAATTATTTCTATGGTTATTTTCAATAGCAAACTGTTAGCTTACCAGAGGGTATATCCCAGTAAATCGCATTAGATCCCATGAAAAGTCACCATAAAACCATTACTAACCACTACTAACCAGTAACCATTACGAAGCACTCGTAACTCCTCCTCTACCAAGGCACAGGCGCGCCAGCCAGGCCAGCGTTCGCCAGGAGCGATCAGGCACACGGCAGCTGCCTGTGCAGATTTTGGGGGGCTGGGGTAACCTTTCCCAAGATAGCCAAGTTGGATTAAGGTGGTTGAACTAACCTAGGTGATTCAGTTATATATGAGAGGTATAACTATAGTTAAGGGGGGTTCTAAACCAACTTGTGACTGGGGTGTCGGGGTTGTGGCTTGCTAATGGGCTAGTGATGGTTCATACAGATTAATTGTGGCTAATGGTTCGTAAGAGGTTTCAACCATCAGATGTAGCTCTTAAATGGTCTTATCCAGTAAACATGGGGATATTAGGCTGAAGCATGTGATAAGGGTGGCCAAAATTGTGTTTGCTTGTATTGGTAATGGCAAATGACAACCATCCCGCTGGTCATTGTTGGTCGGGCTTCGGGCCAAGAGCTGAAATAGCTGAAATAAACAGTATTTGAAACCAATACGATACATATTATGGCTATGAACATTCCTTGTCATAGAATTGCTGGTCACATCCCACTATGATATCATCATATCCATTCTAATATTCCATTGACATACATCAAAAACACAATATCCATATTCTAATAGATTCCATTCATATCCATCAAACACAACATATTCATATATCCATTATACATATTTCCAAGATGACATCATAATATCCATTTTTATGTTTCATTTACATCTTATCGATTATCATCTTATCGATTATCCTCGATCAATCTTCCATGAACATCCACTTTTTTGCAGCAGGGCCCCCCGCTACGTGTCGCAGTGGATCGCTCCAAGAAGTTGAGGGTGAGGACCTGTTAAAGGAAGACCATGCTTGGTAGTTGGTAGGTTGTGGTTGGTAAATGGGAATTAGTGGGGGGGAAAAACGCGTCATTTTGTTGGGTTTATGGGGTTTTGTAAGTTCTTGTTTCGGTCGTTGCTGGTTGCATCGCTGCCCACATTCTTGATGTTCAAAATCAAATGCCCCTAGTTCTGGAAATCTGCTGGTGAATCATCATTTTCTCCATTGAAGTGACCATCATTGAGGTTTTTTTAAAGAAAAACACATGGTACCATCTGGTTATTTAACAGTTTGCCATGGAAAGTCACCATTTTTAATAGGCAAACCATCTATAAATGGGCCATTTTCCATGGCTATGTTAGTCATAACCAGAGGGTAAAACGCCCAGTAATGGGCCCCCAGCCAGTTCGCACCAGCGCGCAGCACTCCACGCAACGAGTCGAGCTCGACCTGCTGAGTATATCTCCAAAATGGCGATATATCTATGTATATATATATATATAAATATATCTATGCATATATATATATCTATGTATATATATACATATATATATCTATGTATATATATATATATGTATATATATATGTATATATATATATATATCTATGTATATATATAAGGATTTTTTTTGCACAGCTCATTGGGACTTTCGTCGCTGCTGGCACGTCGATGAATTCGACCATCCTTCGTTATAATGGCCCGAGCTTTCCAGTAGCCTTGAGCGTTTCAACCAACGGGCGCATCATCCCACTAATGGAGTTTCTTGATGCCTTGCCGGTGTCTTCACTTGCAAGTGGTAAGTTCTGCGAGTTGGTGATTTGTGATTCTATGGAAGAGCATCATCATTTAGCTGATTTTGTTGGACAAAAAGTGATTCTTCAGTGGGTCAATGGTTGTGCTCCGACCTTGCCCATTGGAACCAAGATCTCCATTTGGGATTTCGATCATGACTCTGCGAATGGGATTGCAACTGTCAAGGTCGATTTCAGTAGCCACACAAGGTGGGTGGTTGCTTTGCCCCGTGAAAAAGAAATCCAACTGAACGGTCGGTTCATTGAACTTTGTGCTGGCCTTGGTGGTTGGTCATGTGGACTGGGGTATATGAAGATGAACACGAGGTTGCTCATTGACAAGGATGTGAATGTAGCCACGGCTTGTAGCAAGTGGTTGAACCTTCCTTTGTTCAGCCTTAGTGAAGCATACGACATGGCTGCAGAAGGGAAAACGTTCCCATCGTGTGTTATCATTGCCGACATCTTCGACAAGAGGCTGTGGACGGTAATTGGATTGATTGGTCCTGACTTTGGCCTTGTCTCTGCTCCAAGTGAGCCTTGGAGTAGGGCCGGGCGTGGTTCAGGGCTATCTTCAGTAGATGGGAAGCTGATGGTTTTCATCCCAGAAATGGCACAGAAAACAGGTATCAGATGTTTGGTTGCTGAAAATGTGGCAGGGATTGCTAGCCATTCCCACTACAAGGCCATGGTGCATTCAGCCAAAAGATGTGGAATGCCAATCCGGTTCACTTCCATTGATGATTGCTTCCCAGTTATTCCAGTGCGAAGAGATAGGTGGCTTGCTACCTTTCTCACAGCGGAGATCCAAATTCCCATGTACCTATTGGAGTGGATTTCCAAAGTGAACTTTCCGAAGGTGCATCCGAAGGACTCCAGCATTGGAAATCGGGATTGTATCTTCCTCGACATGAATGACGAGGAAAGGCAAGAGCTTGTGCCTGATCATGCAGCAATGTTGAAATTGTCCAATGCCAAGTACTTGCCATGCTGGTTGTTTGAGGATGGTAAGACGGCTTTGGAGTGTCGCGCGCTAGGACCTCATGATATCTTGTCAGACTTGATGACTATGTGTGGTCGTCAGCATTTGTCTGCCGATGATTTGCTGTTGAACAAGGGACTTCTCACCACTTTGATCCGAGATCATGATGGTGTCAGGTACGTTAGCCCATTTGAGTGGATGGCCGCACTTGGGTGGCCATGCTCACTCCATTTGCCAAGGGAGATCGAGGCTGCCTGGACGGCTGCGGGCAACTCCATCTCCATCCCTCATGTGATTCTGGCTTTGTTCAAAACACACGCTTGTCTGCAAGATCGATCTCCTTGGGGAGCAAAGATTTTTAACCTGCGTGAGCTGATGAACATCGCGCTTCACTATCGAATCAAAGTTTCCAAAGTGAAACAAGTGTGTGGAGAGTCCACCAGGTGGCTCCAGTCAGATGATGTACATAGCTCGGTAGTACAGGTCGGTTCACCTCCATCCCCAGGTTGTGATCCTTTTTGTTTGGGTGGTTTTAGGGGTTTGAGTGTTTGTCCTGTTTCCGAGTCTGTGTCCGGAACATGCACCTTAGGTCCACTGCAGGGTTTGCATCCGACGGCATCCGTGAAACCAGATGATGAACATGCCCCTCCCCATGGAGGTGTACTGATCCCGAGTGCAGAGTCCTTGCTCAATGCATCCGCCGTAGGTCCACAGGGTTTGCATCCGACGGCATCCGTGACAGCTGAAGATGAGCATGCCCCTCCCCATGGAGGTGTACCGATCCCGAGTGCGGAGTCCTTGCCCAATGCATCCGCCGTAGGTCCACAGGGTTTGCATCCGACGGCATCCGTGACAGCTGAAGATGAGCATGCCCCTCCCCATGGAGGTGTAACGATCCCGATTGCAGAGTCCTTGCTCAATGCATCCGCCGTAGGTCCACAGGGTTTGCATCCGACGGCATCCGTGACAGCTGAAGATGAGCATGCCCCTCCCTATGGAGGTGTACCGATCCCGAGTGCAGAGTCCTTGCTCAATGCATCCGCTGTAGGTCCACAGGGTTTGCATCCGACGGCATCCGTGACAGCTGAAGATGAGCATGCCCCTCCCCATGGAGGTGTACCGATCTCGAGTGCAGAGTCCTTGCTCAATGCATCCGCAGTAGGTCCACAGGGTTTGCATCCGACGGCATCCGTGACAGCTGAAGATGAGCATGCCCCTCCCCATGGAGGTGTACCGATCCCGAGTGCTCAATGCAGTAGGTCCTTTGCTCCGACGGCATCCGTGACAGCTGAAGATGAGCATGCCCCTCCCCATGGAGGTGTACCGATCCCGAGTGCAGAGTCCTTGCTCAATGCAGGTAGGTCCACAGGGTTTGCATCCGACGGCATCCGTGACAGCTGAAGATGAGCATGCCCCTCCCCATGGAGGTGTACCGATCCCGAGTGCAGAGTCTTTGCTCAATGCATTCGCCGTAGGTCCACAGGGTTTGCATCCGACGGCATCCGTGACAGCTGCAGATGAGCATGCCCCTCCCCGTGGAGGTGTACCGATCCCGAGTGCAGAGTCTTTGCTCAATGCATTCGCCGTAGGTCCACAGGGTTTGCATCCGACGGCATCCGTGACAGCTGAAGTTAAGCATGCCCCTCCCCGTGGAGGTGTACCGATCCCGAGTGCAGAGTCTTTGCTCAATGCATCCGCCGTAGGTCCACAGGGTTTGCATCCGACGGCATCCGTGACAGAGTGCAGAGTGCTCAAGCATCCGAGCACAGGGTTTGCATCCGACTCCGTGACCATGAGCATGGGAGGTGTACCGATCCCGAGTGCGAGTCCTTGCTCAATGCATCCGCCGTAGGTCCACAGGGTTTGCATCCGACGGCATCCGTGACAGCTGAAGATGAGCATGCCCCTCCCCATGGAGGTGTACCGATCCCGAGTGCAGAGTCTTTGCTCAATGCATTCGCCGTAGGTCCACAGGGTTTGCATCCGACGGCACCCGTGACAGCTGAAGTTGAGCATGCCCCTCCCCGTGGAGGTGTACCGATCCCGAGTGCAGAGTCTTTGCTCAATGCATCCACCGTAGGTCCACAGGGTTTGCATCCGACGGCATCCGTGACAGCTGAAGATGAGCATGCCCCTCCCCATGGAGGTGTACCGATCCCGAGTGCAGAGTCTTTGCTCAATGCATCTGCCGTAGGTCCACAGGGTTTGCATCCGATGGCATCCGCCCCTCCCCATGGAGGTGTACCGATCCCGAGTGCAGAGTCTTTGCTCAATACATCCGCCGTAGGTCCACAGAGTTTGCTTCACGCGGCATCCATGAAACCTGAGGATGAGCATGCCCCTCCCCATGGAGGTGTACCGATCCCGAGTGTAGAGTCTTTGCTCAATGCATCCGCCGTAGGTCCACAGGGTTTGCATCCGACGGCATCCGTGAAACCTGAAGATGAGCATGCCCCTCCCCATGGAGGTGTACCGATCCCGAGTGCAGCGTCTCTGCACAATGCGTCTGCTGTAGGTCCACAGGGTTTGCATCCGACTGCATCCGTGACAGCTGAAGATGAGCATGCCCCTCCCCATGGAGGTGTACCGATCCCGAGTGCAGAGTCTTTGCTCATCAATGCATTCGCCGTAGGTCCACAGGGTTTGCATCCTACTGCATCCGTGACAGCTGAAGATGAGCATGCCCCTCCCCATGGAGGTGTACCAATCCCGAGTGCAGAGTCTTTGCTCATCAATGCATTCGCCGTAGGTCCACAGGGTTTGCATCACGCGGCATCTCTGAAACCTGTAGATGAACATGCCCCTCCCCATGGAGGTGTACCGATCCCGAGTGCAGAGTTGCTCAATGCATCCGCCGTAGGTCCACAGGGTTTGCTTCATGCGGCGTCCGTGACAGCTGAAGATGAGCATGCCCATGGAGGTGTACCGATTTCGAGTGCAGAGTCTTTGCTCAATGCATCCGCTGTAGGTCCACAGGGTTTGCATCTGACGGCATCCGTGACAGCTGAAGATGAGCATGCACCTCCCCATGAAGGTGTCCCGATCCGAAATGCTGAGGCTTCGCTCAACGCACCCGCCAAAGGTCCACAGGGTTTGCATCCGACGGCATCCGTGAAACCGGAAGATGAGCATGCCCCTCCCCATGGAGGTGTACCGATCCGCAATGCTAAGCCTTTGCTCGATGCATCCGCTGTAGACCCATGTGGTTTGCATCCGACGGCACCCGGAGAACTTGAGAATAACCATGCCCCTCCCCATGGAGGTGAACTGATCCGAAATGCTGAATCATTGCTCAGTGCATCCACCGTTGGTCCCGATGAGGTGCATCTGACGGCATCCGTGAAACCGGAAGATGAACATGCCCCTCCCCATGGAGGTGTACCGATCCGAAATGCTGAGGCTTTGCAGGGTTTGCATCCGACGGCATCCGTGAAACCGGAAGATGAACATGCCCCTCCCCATGGAGGTGTGCCGATCCCAGGCGCTGAGTCTTTGCCCAATACATCCGCCGTAGGTCCACAGGGTTTGCATCACGCGGCATCCGTGAAACCTAAAGATGAGCATGCCCCTCCCGAAGGAGGTGTACCGATCTCGAGTGCAGAGTCCTTGCTCAATGCATCCGCCGTAGGTCCACATGGTTTGCATCTGGCCGAATCTGTGAAACCGGAAGATGACCATGCCCCTCCCCATGGAGGTGAACCGTTCCGAAATGCTGAGGCGTTGCTCATTGCAACCACAGTAGGACAGGGTTTGCATCTGACAGCGTCTGTGAAACCTGAAGATGAGCATGCCCCTCCCGATGGAGGTGTATCGATCCGCAGTGCTGAAACATTGCACAGTACACCTACCGCTGGTCCACAGGGTTTGCATCCGACAGCATCCGTGAAATCTCAAGATGAGCATGCCCCTCCCTATGGAGGTGTACCAACCGGAAATGCTGAGCCTTTGCTCAATGCATCCGCCGTAGGTCCACAGGCATCCGGTGTGAATGAAGGTGACCGGGCCCCATCTGAGGTTGCGGTGCCTACCACGTCGCCATACAGTGATGAGTACCCAGCATCCGTCCGAGTTGCACGTGATAACAAAGATGACCCAATGAATGGAATGCACGGACACGAAGGCCCTCCCACCAAGCGCATGAAAGGAAGTCAAACACATTGGGTCGCTTTGTCCGAAGAAACATGGGGATTCGCACTGTTCCCGGAAGTTGCACGTCCATTTGAGCGAGTTGATCCTTCTGATCCTGATTTTGGGGCGTTGGCATTGACATCACTGCAGCATTGCCCCGACATGAAGGAAACAATTTCCAAGTGGATGATGCATGCAGTGATTATCACCGGTGTTGATCGGCTTTGGCCAACCACACGTGTTGCTACCATTGTTGATTGCGATAATCAATGGATCAAGGTAGGCCCGGTGAAATCATCATCCACAGTGCTAGAAATTCTCAGAAGTGTCCTGCCTCATGCAACCACGTCTGATTTTGCACAGGTGACTGTTGATGGAGCCAAGGTGCCCGCAATGTCTATCCCACCGGGAGTTGACCGAATTCAGGTTCAGTTCATCCCTGTCTATTACAAGGCGTCTATCAGCATGGATACTGGTGAAGAAATCAGCATGCCTGTCTGTGTCACAACCACTGTCAATGACATTTTGGCACAGTTGCAAACGCTCCGAGTGGTGCATATGTCATGCGTTCAAGTGATCCAGCATGAAAACATCATTGGATCTACTGACTATGTAATGAATGGGAGTTCTCTCAAGTTTGAGGTCCTGAGAAAGGCTGAGGTATTCCTGCCTGCCAAATTGCCTGAAGTTGCGTTGCCGGTAGGGTTGCTAGAGCCGCCTGCTCATGCTGACATTGCCAGGTCGTGCAATCATCCTTGCATCCGGTTGGCCATACGGGACCCAAAGTGGTCTACAGTTAGAACCATCGCAGTGACACGTGACACCACCATTGCAATGGCATTATCAAAACTCATGCCTGAGGAGTTCAGAGACTCCTGCGTCCAGATAGCTGAACCACGAGGTATTCTCCTAGGTAGCATGCCAGTGTATGTTCTCTTGGGTCTCACCAACGTCGAAGTTCAACTGCAACGAAAACATGATATTCCCGTGGCCACGCTGTTGGCCTTCCCTGCAACGGCATTCGAGGATCAGTTCCAGCTGGGAGTTGGACAGGAAATCCCTGATGAGTTCAAGATCAAAAGATGGATTAGGTCACCCTTCCAGGTCAAAGCGTATGAAAAAAACATGCAGTCTTCCTCCACATTGATGGAAGTTGCAGCAAGATTTTTTGCCCACTGCAGGTCAAACCAGACCTTGATGGTGCTGATCAACGGCCGCATCATTGATCCCCGGCTTCGAGTTGCTGAAACCGCGTCCAGTGATGTAATCACCGTCCGATCATGCCCATTAGCTGGAGGAACAAAGAACCAAGACGTGAAAAACATGATCAATCATCAGCTGAAGAGCCGAGGTGTCAAAGACTCTGAATTGAAAGCCAGGTCTGAGATGTTCATTGCCAAAGCCACACCTGAGGCTCTTAGAGCCTTCATTCCAGAGCCATACCAACAGCAATGGAGCAGCATCAAGAGCCTGGCAAACAGCCTGCAGGTGCGCCTTGTCACATCAGAAGAACTCAAGAAGTTCCAGCAAGACAAAAAAGATGCCAAGAAAAGTGAAACAGCTTCCACAGCAAGCACGTCAAAATCCGATTCCAACGCCTCCTTGCGAAAGTTGATTGACATGCAGGATATCACAGTTGATATGTCCTTCCTTCATGCAGAGGGTCAGGAGGTGCATCCTTTGCCCGCCAGTGCATTTGGTGCCGACAAGACAGGAGTTGCTGTGATGCATATGTCCCAAGCCAGTGCATATTGCCCAGAAGCCAAGTTGTCTCCCGAACCATTGGCAATCGTGGCTATTGGCTCCAAGCCTATTGAAGGAAAGGAAATCCAAATGTTCCCTGCTCGCAACGGCAAAGGGGACCCAATTCTCATCCCAGGATGTCTCTTCAATTTTGGGGAGCCGGCGATCTCCACCAAGGATTCGGTGGCCAATGTTGAACTTGAAGTTCAAGATGCGATTGTTATTGAATTCTGGATTCAGCGTGCGGAATGCAAGCTGTGGACTGATGTCAAAACACCATTGCTGTATCTGGGTCAGACCATCAAGGATTTGAAGAACACTCAGATCATCGCATCCTGGGCCATCAAGTTCTACACAGGCCCTCGTGCAGTGGCCACCCACGCAGATGCAAAGTATGCCCATGGATTCATCCGTGTTCTTGCAGAACATGTTGACCAAGTCCTGGTGAAATCCGGCCGTGATGGTGTGTATCTTGTGCCAAAAGGTGATGATCGTCGACCTCATCAGGCTTTCACAATCATTCAGGTACCAAACAAAAGCTTAGAAGAATTGTTGGCCATGGCTCAAAGAACACCAAATGTCCTTGGTCTTGTGGACACCAATTCGGGTCTCATGCTGCGCTGCAGGCGCGAACATTACAATAAGGTCCGAGGTGCTGTTTTCCCTGAAAGCCCGTTGCCTGAGCAAGGTAACTATGAGCCAGGAGATGAACTTTGGACGTTGCGTCATTTGGCAGCCCACACGACAGCTAGCAGCCTCACCCAAGCCCTCAAGTCACTTGGGTGGACATCCGCAAAGGCACTCAAGCCTGTTGGGCCTAATGCCTGGTCAATTGCCGCGCGTGGAAGCCCACCAGCCATGCATGTAAAATTGAATGGATCGTTTGTGGTCATTACTCCAGTGTCCAAAACCAAGACAGGCGTCTCAGCCCAGGCCTTGCCAGTTCCGCTGAGTGCGCAATTGTCAGGTGCAGGTGGAACACCTGTTGTGAATCAATCACCGCCGTCCAGATTCAATGAGCTCAAATCGGAACTCAAAACACACATTGAGTCGTTGATTGAGGATAAGTTGACCGAAACCAGGTCCAATCTCCAAAATTTGAATGCCAAGGTTGAGACCACGTGTAGCAATGTTGCAGCCCTGCAAAAAGCGCAATCGGAGACTGACGGCAAGATCGGAAGCTTAGAGAAAACAGTCCATGAAAGCCATCAATCGGTAGTTGGTTCAATGTCACAGATGTTCCAGAAGCTTGAAGCCTCCATGAACGACCGATTCAACAAGATGGAATCGCATGAGTCCAAGGAGCCCAAAAGACAGAAAGTCAATGAGTGAAACGCATGTCCAATAAGGCTGTGGTGTATGGATCGAACCATCCAATGGACGCTCAGGAGCAGTGCCACCATCTTGCAGTGGCTAGCCGACCGGTATCCCACTGTATGGAATGGTGTACTAATTCGAAATACATATGCAGTGCACGCTGCTTGGACCTTTTGCTATCCAAGCCAAGTTTTTTGTCATTGCGACGTAGCATTCAGTGTCTGCTGTGTGCCGAAGTACAGCAGCCAGGTACCATACTGTCAGCTGGCTTGTATTTTGACTGCCCTATTCATTCCCATGCTTGTCATCTTGACTACATATTTGTTTATGATTAGCTTTGAAATCAAGGTGTTGTTCAATGCTGCCTGCAAGCCAACTGCTTTCTATCAAAGATGTCTCAGTCCGCACCTTCGCCAAGTTGCTAAGTGCCTGAAAACTAGGAGGTGCGAGCAGAATTTTATTGCCAGTACGGTTTCAAAAACCCATAAGTTGAGGTGTTGGCAACAGCCTCAAATAAGTTTTTATGAGTCTTTGCTCCGCAACCAGTCTTGCATGAGCAATAATGCTGATTATGACAATCATTCCCAAGAATGTGTTTTTAATTGGGACGCTCGAACATTGTGGTTTTTCAACCTTGAAAATAGGTTTTGGAGCCCCCAAGGTTCGGCCCCCAACTTTGAGCCACATTCATCCCTTTCATCTTCGGACCCCAGGATTCTGGACCGCAGATTCTTGAATCGTCAAAGTATTCGCTACCATTCTAGCCAGACTAGTGGTCAAACATGTCATCAAAATTTTGTACTCTGGGTATTACTCGTATTTTTTGCAGGAGCTTGTCGAATTGGGGAAGCGGCCAATCCCGGGCCTCCTCCAACTCCACCTTATGACCCCAAATTGTTGTCAGATACTAATGATGTGCTTTGGGTTGGCAACTGTAACCCTGGGCAACTTTTTGGCAAAGAAGATATTGTGCTAGAGTGGGGAGGCGGAATCTGGACTTTTAGTGAAACTTCTGCAACAACCCCTGCAATCAAGTACCTTCGCTCAAAATTTAAGGAAAAAAAACGTAATGCCCTTTTTGGGGAACCTGTTCGTCCACACCAAGATTCTTCCATCATGCGTGGTCGGGCAGGGGGAGTTGCAATTGTTTCCCAATTACCATGCAGAAAGTACAATTTCCCTGCACCAGATTTCCTTCATTCATCAACTAGATTCATGGACTCGGTTGTTAATTTGCATGGGAGCCGATCTATCTATGTATGCTCAGTTTATGGAACAACAAATCATAATCAACATGATTTGGCAGTTACTGAAAATATATTCAACCAGGCCGCTGAAAGAGCTCTCTCTTTCCGTGGTCCGGCAATAATTTGCGGCGATTTAAATGCGCCCCTCGATAAGTTTCCAGCTTGGGCCAAGCTCCAGCAGTTTGGCTGGGCCGACTCAGCTTTGTTGGATCAGAGAATTCATGATAGAGAGCCCCAACCCACTTCTAAGGGAACTGTTCGACATTCGTTTATACTTTGTTGTGGAGAGATGGCCAGTTCGTTTCTCACTTGTAGAACGGCTTGTGAATATGAATTTGATGCTCATCCGCTGCTTGTTACAGGTTTCTCAATTTCCACTTTGTGCACGCCAAGTTGGAAATGGGTTCTTCCAAAAGCATTGGATAAGTTTATATTTAATGAAGCTGAAATTGATGCGTATGGTGACAATTTTTGTCGATTGAATGCTGCGAAATTCCAGGATGCGATCCACAACATGGATATGGAAACAGCAGCAAAAATCTTTACCCATGGAGTGGAAGCAACGTTAAAACATTCAGCAATTAGTTCTGAAGGAACCTATCAGTATATTCAACCTGGTCATTTTGGACGTTGGGTTAAAACACCACTCAAACTCAGGCTTGAAAATGTCCCTGTCATAAGACCTGCTCGAAACGGGGAATTTACTCCTATTGTGTCTCAACTAACCTTCAGCTTAAGGTACAGGACAAAACAATTGCGAAGAATTAAAGCACTAAGTCAACAATATTCATCGTTTCTTAAAAACAGACAAGAGACAACGCTTAGAGCATGCCGTAAGTTATGGAACTGCATCCTCCAGGCCAATGGATTTTGCAATGGTTTCCACACATGGATTGGGAAACACCTGGGCTTATTTGTCCCGCTGAGCCTCCCATCCCTGGAGTACATATGGGAACTTGAACGTGAATTTGATGCTTTTCACAGCGCTGAGATTCAAAAATATTATGCTTCTAAAAATGCAGCCAATAAGAAATCAATTGCAGACGATATTCAAGGTGGTGGCCACAGAGCTTTTGCAAGTGTTCGTGATGCTCCTGCTCCTCCTTTGACATCAGTCACCAAAATTGCCAGATATCAGATGCGCCGAGTGGAATGGACCAAGGAAGGCCGTAATTGGCTACCCATGGTTAGCACCCAAGGTATTTCCCATGAATACCCGATAACCTTTCAAGGTCAAAAAAGATCCATCAGCAGAATCCAACCCCAAGGTATTCTTTTAGAGTCCCCCGTTACTCTGAAAGATTGTAAAGATCTTGAAATTACACAGCCTGTGACATCAGCCCATCCTGAACTAATGCACCAGTGCTTGATCGCTGAGTGGAGCAAAATGTGGAAACGTGACCCGTGTCACGAACCTGCCAATTATTGGGATGATTTCAATCCCTTCTTACGATGTATTAATGATTGTCCAACTTGTGAATTTCAGCCACTTACCCCAGATCGCTGGCTTGCAAATCTCAAAGGCGTCAAAAAAAATTCTGCAAGAGGAGCGGATGGCTTCTCCACTTTCGAGTTGCAGCTTGTCCACGGTCCTTTGCTTCATTTTCTGTTAGACATCCTGTCTACGATTGAGAAGGGGGCAAAGTGGCCAGACCTTTGGACCCAAGCCAGAGTAGTGGTACTATCTAAGGGGTTTGAGCCTAAATCACCATTAGATATTCGACCAATTTCCATTTTGCCTAAAATATATAGGACGTGGTCAAGACTCAGAAGCCTTGAAGTGTTACGCCATATTGGTTCAATTTTACCCCCGCAAGTTGCTGCCACTGCAGGTGGCATCTCTGCCGATTCTTTGGCGGCTTATACTGCTACTGTAGTTGAAGATGCTTTTTGGAATCGGGAAGATAAGTGTGGGGTGGTAATTGACATCATCAAATGTTATAACATGATCCCATGGACACCAAGCGCGATGTTGTTGGAAAAACTCAAAATCCCCCATCAGTACATTACAGGACTGATGTCCCTGTTAAAAAATATTCGCCGATCCTTCGATATCCAAGGAAATTGCTCACAGTTCTTCAATGCTACCACTGGGATAGCAGAGGGGTGTGCATTGTCCGTTTCCTTGATGGCCGTGTATTCTTTGCTAACTTACAAAGTATTCCTTGCGATGCACCCGGGCATTCAACCTTTGTGCTATGCAGACAATTGGGGCCTGATTGCCAATGCCCCATCGCAGATCAAACCAGCCATATTCACGCTTTCAAAAATTGTTAACAGTCTTCGAATGGCCATTTCTTTCCCAAAGTCTTGGGTTTGGGCAACCAAGCTTTCGTGGAAAAATTCTCTTAACAACATTCAAGTAGATGGCCACACCTTCCCATATAAGACCCATGCAGTAGACCTTGGCTGCGACATTAATTATAACAGAAGAAAATTAATTACTGCTGGGAAAAAGCGTATTGAAAAAGCCACACGTGTTCTTAAAAGGATCCAGAAAATTAAAATACCTGTGCAATTTAAAAGAAAAATGATCCATTCTTGCGGATTTGGAACTATGGCCTATGGGTCTGAATTACAGCATATCCCATGTGCAGAATGGAAAACAATCCGTACAGCAACATTGGCCGCAATGCATAGGAAACAGGCAAGTGCGAGCCCGTGGATTGGAACCATGTTCAACCCATGCCCAGTTGACCCACAGTTAAAGGGGGTAATTCGTGCCTGCTTGTTTTGGAGAAGGTTCTTCCGAAATTTCCCTTCCTTAAAAGCTGGGTTTCTTGATCGAATTGTTAATTCACAAGCAGGACCAGGCCCGGCAGTTAGTCTGGGTAAGACCTTCAGAGCTATTGGTTGGGCACCTTTGCCAGATGGATTCCTCCAGCATACTCTTGGATTCCAGTTTAATTGGGTTGCGTGTTCAGTGACATTCTTGAAGTATTGGCTGCGCGTCTTATGGACTACACATGCTGCCCACAAAGCCCAATCACGGAAAGATTTTGATATAAGTTCTGTTGATGAATATTTGATGATGAAAGTCTTGAATAAGTTTCCATCCGACCAAAAACAACTGTTGGTGACGCACTTTACAGGGGCTGCTTGCACCGGCAACATGTATGCAAAGTTCAATCCCAATGTTCACCCCGAATGTTCTCTTTGTGGTGTAATTGACGATCGTGAACATCGCATTTTTAATTGTAAAAAGTATGAAATCCAAAGATTCAATGCCAAACCTCTTTTCAAATGGTTAGCAAAACAATCAGCTGCAACGAAACTTCTTGGCTTGGTTCCCTTGGATTTGAGTTTTTCAAAAGTGTTGTGGGAAAATCGGTTAGAATGGCCGGAGAATGTGATCCCCCTGGTCGATTTGGAGATTGCGCATGTGTTTGTTGATGGCTCGGCGTTCCATCAAGATTTGAAAATTTGTTGCATCTCAGCCGGTGCTGCAGTGAAGTGCCAGCCTTTTCAAATTGATCACACAAAGATCTTTGCTTCCCCGGTTCCAGGTGTTGATCATAGTGCATATCGCGGTGAAGTTTTTGCAATATGGGGCGCTTTGTTGAGTTGCTATCGGGTTCACCTTTACATTGATTGTGAAGCTGCCCTAGCGATGTTAAAGTATCTTTGTGATTGTCATTCCTGTAATATCAAACCCAAGATTCAGGATCATCATGATTTGTGGGAAAGGGTTTGGGTTCAAATTCGTAGCCGTCCCCCATGTATAATTGATTCCACTAAGACTAAAGCCCATACTGATGTTGAGAGTATTGACGACCCTTTTTTGAAATGGCAAGCAATGGCAAATAATACTGTAGACGCTTATGCGAAGCAAGCCCTCCTTGATTGGAATCCCACGTTTGCAAAAGCTTCTAGCCATTATGCCATATCGGCAGAAAAACAAGAATTCCTGATTGAATATTGTAATTTTGTTAAGCACATGGCATCCAAGGTCACGGATTCCCCGATTAAGATTCAACCTGATGCCGTCATCGATTTTACAACACGTATCCCCGTTGGTCCGTTCTTTGTCCATCATGTGCCCCAGGCCTGCCCTGAAAATTGGCCTTTTGGTGAAATTTTTTGGAATAGGTTGAGCAGCTGGGCACAGTTGTTGCAATGGTCCAATGTGGAATCCAGGCCAACAGCCATGTTGGAACTATATATAGACTTTGCATTATATACAAAAACCATAGTACCCCTTCCAGTCAAACCTAAGGGAAAAAAATCAGCCAAATGCCAATATTATCTTGTTGATCAGAACTTGGAATATGCTGAAACTGAGTTTAAACTTTCACAGCAAAGTTTTACTTGGAACCGTATTGTTAACTGGACCCGTCACCACCAGTGTCCTATCTTCCCTGGTGAATGGGTCTCGCAATCAGGCGCCCTGAAGGATCTTGGAAATAGTTTTTGGGTCCCTGCTGTTAAACTGACTGCATCTTTAACCACCGGTGCCCTGCCGTATCAAAAACTACATTCTATTTTTGTCACCCCAATGGGGAAAAAGAGGAAAATGTGTATGCCATTCCGTCCTTAGTGGACACACAGATCGGCACCTGTGTATCCACCCTGGGAGGATGCATTCATTTGCATTCGATCCGGCATCTGTCATTTTGCATCCGTGCATTCGACTGTCCCATGGTGTGTCTCGTCGTCACCCCTGAATTTGTTGTTTTTTGTTGGTTTTGTTTGTGTTTTTTTTAATTAATGATCACAATCATTGGTGGGGACTTCACGCGTAGCTGGTTGTCTCTACCGCTGTCACACGGCATTAAAGTCAAAGGCGGAAAATCCTTCGTTAGGGAACGTCTCCCCCGTAGTCAGGTCCTATAATCGTGCCAAAAGTGCGGGAAATCATCGCACGGCACATGCTCAAAAAATCTGGATCCATTGTCACATCAGAGGATGGGTGATCTCGGAACCAGGTGCAAAATGTCGCTGCTAAAGCGCGATTCATCGAAGGTGGGTACTCCTTGAGCGGGGCTGTACGCCACACACCTTCGGCAGTTTTGCCGATGGCGCTGCGCTTCGGCAGCTCCGATGTAATATGATGCTCTCTCAGACGTGCTCGTAGCGACGGCAGGTTGAGAGCAAGCAATCTTGTGGGTTTCGGAGAATGCGCTCCGAGAAGCCCTTGCGCAAGGTCAATGACATCGACGCCCTTGAACTGCATGAGAAGGCGCAGAATGGCCAAGCGCCAGATTGAAGGTTTCTCGGCATCCTCAGGTTCCATGGGGTGCTCAATGACTCCAAAGCCTTCGATGCTGGCCAGCGCGTAGAGCAGGTCGATCGAGAAGAGCAAGAGGTCGTTGCCCGTCGCCACTTGTTGTGCTTCACGTATGCTCAAAGAGTCCAACCCCCATAGATGTTCGCTATCCCGTAGGGGTCTGGGGCCTCGAGTCTGTGGGTCTGCATCAACCACGTGGCGTGCTTGCGACCATGTTTCGCAGGGAGGGCCGCAAAGGGCCCCGCAAACCCAGCCTGAGAGGACGCCGTTGATCCAAAACTCTTGGGTGGATTGAAGTCGTACATTGCCCCACTGCTGATTGATCACTCGGTCAACTGAGACCACACAAAGAGTTGTGCCGTCCGGACAAAGCTGATCAAAAAGCTGCTCCATGTAAAATTGAAGATCTCCTGCTCGTCGTCTTCCGGAGAAGACGTGGAGGAAGATGCGCTCCTTGCTGCGGGGTCGAGGAAATTCAACTCCTTGATTCCGCACCACGGTCTGCGTAAATTCCTGCTCAATCTCACTGAGGGTGGGCAAAGTTTCCGTCTGTCGTGGCGGACTCTGCAAAAAGGGCCAGGTCGCCACGTCACAGAGGCGGTCAATGCTCTGTTGAATCAGGTTTAGCGTACGTTCGTCATGACCAATCTCTGCCTGATGAAGCGTGCGCTGGATACTCCGCAAGGTTCTCGTACACATAGTCCATGATATGGGAAGGCTTGTGATGATTTTCCTTGCTTCAACTTCAAAGTGTGCAACATCCTTGCCTTCCCACTCCACAATCAGTAAAGACACGGCTTCTGAAAGCTCCAAATGTTCTTGCTCGAAGTCTCGCGGGCATACTGTAAGAGGAAGTGGTCCTTCTGCTTGTAGAGGAGGAAGTCGCCCATCCCATGATGTGTGCAATTCAGAGTCTTGCAACGATCCATGTCCAGGTGCTGGTTGGAAATGCACCCTGCGACCAACGAGTTGTTGTCTGCAAAAATCTGAACGGATCAAGTGGCTCTTCAGCTTGCTGTGAGTAAAGTACTCCTTCAAGCAGGCTCCACATTGAGTCCCCTCAATCAACGTACGCACAGGATGGATAAATCCATGAGTTCTGTTCATGTGGGCACCCTCGCCTGCGAGAGTCTCGCAACGCAGTCCGCAAAGCATGCAACCAAAGGACTCAATCGAAGAGGAAGCAAAACTCGCCTTCTTATCAGTCGGTCCCCAAACATGTTGTTCTTGAAGCCTGTTGCGGATCCTCAAATGGGCAGCCACGCAAGTGAAGTGTCGTGAAGTGAGAAGAATGGAATGTTCTCTCGCTCTTCTGATCAGTCGTTTCCAATATCCTCTGTGGAATCGCATGATTTCAAGCCAACGCTCAGTGTGCTTGAAGGGGTTGCCCAATCCGCAGGAGTTGGCAAGCTGGTCACCCATCCATTGAAGATCATCTCTAACCAGGTCAAGCCATGCCTGATCTTGGTTGAGCAAGCCCCAGTGAGCCGATGTGCCACTGTTCAGCAGAGAACTCAGGTAGCTGAGTCGCTTGACCCGCAATAGGACCGCCGGAGCTGGCAGGGTGGCTCTGTGCAGCACCTCCTCATCAGAGATGTGAGCGTCCGCAGGACAGCGAAGAAGTCGCTTGAAGAGCTTGATGATCGCACAATGGAGATATTCTTTGGTCTTCCTGTCCTGTATGCACCAAGTCTCGGCTCCGTAAAGAAGCCGGCTCAGGATGAGGCTGGAGAAGATTTCAGATCTCCTGCTCATGGACAGTGACCCATTCTGGTAGATGAGCTTCCGGTGTTTGTTGAAACTCTGGTGAGCGATGGCAATTCTGCGCCGTATTTCTCTTCGGAGATCTCCTGTGTAGTGTGTCAATCCTCCAAGGTGCAAGTAGGAGTTGACCAGGTTCACCTTGTAGATGCCATACTCGCCAAGAGCTGTGATACAGCCAGGTGATTGGGGTCCAAAGAGCTGTTTGCGGAAGGCCTGTGTTTTGGCTCCTCTCGGCTTGAAGAGGATCTCAGTTTTCCCTTTGCCCAGTTTCGGAGTCATGGCATGCGACCTCAAAGTATCCAGAATGCTACTCGTGGCAGAGCACAGGTTCTGATGCAGCTCTTCATTGGTCTTTGCAGTCAAAGGAATGGCCAAATCATCCATCCAGCATGGTCCCAGAAGAGTCTGCGATTGCTGGGCTGCATCATCAAACCCTTTTGAGTGCAAATCAATGCTTGGATCCTCCGGGAATGTGGTAAGGATGTTGGCGTGTTCCATCGCAGCTGCAAAGCTCTTGAGGACGCGGGACATTAAATATCCAAACACCACATCAGCATATGAATCGCCGGGGCGTGAGCCATGCGTAGTGCGGACTCGGTCATCTTGGCCAGGCAAAGCGAAAAATGTGTCTTGGTGAAGCGCTTGGATAGCCTTCTGTGCGACCTCTGTCAGCTGAGCTTGTTCGATTGCACTTGGCTCGGCTAAATGGGCATAGAGATCGTGCAAGATATTTTGGTCCAGGTGCAGACGCTTTGCCATAGTGGCAATAAGCTCATCGGACCACGGACCAGCAATCGCCAGGGGGCGCACAACCCTATAGAAGGCTTCCTGTAAGTCGATGAAAATGACCGCTGTAGGTTGATTTCGAGCTGCAAATACCCGAAGACAGGCCCGCACCAGATGACCACATAGGACAACAGAGATGCCTTTGCGTCCTCCAAGCTGTTGAGGATGAAGGTAGCTCTGATAAAGGCTCGTCTGTTTGGTGCGCAGGGATTTGTGCAATGTCTTACCCACCATGGACGAAATGAGAATGGAACGGAAGGCTTGGCAACAATCTTTGCTGAGTTTTCCCTTCCAAATGGGGATCAGGTATCCGCCTTTGTGCTCCAGCGGTTCCTGTCCTTGGATTGCGATTTTCAGCAACAAGGAATAGAGTTGCCGAGCAACTTCCTTTGGACAGTATCTGAGCAATTCAGAAGGGATTCTGTCCATCCCTGAAGCTTTTCCAGCTGCCACTTGTCTGCACGTTTGTTCCAACTCAACCAATGAGGGCATCTCAGTGATGGGAATGTCCAAGATGAAGCTGCGTAGGCTCTCCAAATTGTTTCTCCAGAGCATCCTCTGTGTTGTCTCATCAACTCTTTCCCCTCCTTCCATTTCGCTGAAGAATTCGATCCACCTATTCAAGGTGGCAGTGTGTGACGTGCAAGGCTTGCCATGCGCATCCTTGATGATTGGTAACGGAGCCATTCCCTGTTTCAGTTTGCTACTCGGACCCATGAAAGGTCGCAATTGTTGTTGGATCTCAGATGCGGCAGTACTGGAGGTAAAATGGCTGAGTACTTCTTGCAGAGCAGCTGCCTTGTTCTTGTGGATCAAATCCTTCAGGAGAACAGCCTGTCTGCGAAATCCAAGCCCATGTTTCAAAATACCAATCCGCAATGTGGTACCAAAACAGTACGACTGGTCTTGTTGCCATGTGGTGGGTGTTCTCCAAGCTGCCAGTATTCTTGCCAAGGTTTCTCTGCGGAGCAGATGACGAATTGTTTTCAGCTGAGATTTGTGGTCCAGCTTCTGTTGTCGTCGCTGCCAGATCGTCTCATCAATGTAGGGCCTTTGAGGTCCTTGCCTGAGACGTGGACAATGTCGTCGTAACTGCTCATGTAGATGATCATTGATGCCCGTTAAGTGGCTCTCAACATCTGTGGTCCAGGAAGCCACTGGTGCATGGGTAAACTTTTTGGGTAGACCTTGTCGGATGCGAGTGCGGTCAAAGTCGCCTTTGGACAAACGTGTCAATGATGGCATAGAACATGTCTTCTTCCACTTGAGCTCAATGGCATGGACTGCGTGGTCGATGACTTTGTTCCCAAGGTCGAACTCCGCCAAAACACGTGAGCAGGCGCAGCATTCCATCCATGTGGTCGGTATGAGGACATAGTCAATTGTGAATTCTTCCTGTGTGGGAGAAGTCCAGGTGCACGTGGTACCATCATGTACCGGGCTTGTAATGGGTGCACAAAGCTGCATATCGTTGAGAAAGCCACGCAGCAGTACTGTGCCTGAAGAGGTTCGAAAACCTGGCATAAGCACGTGGGTACCATCCTCTTCTCCTGGACCTGCATTTGCATCAATGCAGGCAAAGAGAGGGACCTGATCATCTACAAAACTCATCAGGATCTCTTGGGTGGTCCTCCACCAGGTTTCTCGTTCTTGCACGCTGTAACCGCTGTGTGGTGCATAACCCACAAAAATCCAAGCCTCAAAGGATGTGTGCAGAACACGCACCAATAGGCGACGTGAATCATTGCTGACCACCGTGAAGTGCTTTCGCGCTAGGTACAGGCTTTTCCCTTGGCCGGTGGCGATGGGTTGTGTGAGGTTGCACCAAAGTTCCACGCCACCTTGTCCTTGATCAGCTCCTGAAGAAAGTCTAAGAATGCCTCCTGTGAGTGATGACCCGGCTGACGCTCTCGTTTCTTGAACTCCAAGAAAATTCAAGTGGAGGTCCTTGAATTGCGCACGTAGATAGTCCAATTTGCCAGTAAAGCCAGCAGGGCCCTGACCCAGAGAGAGGACATTTCCAGTGGCAATGCTGAGCACAAAGTCAAGGGTTCTCTGTTTTGGTGCTTTTGGTTCTGGCTTAGCCGGTGGCTCCACTGATGGGAGTGCTGGTGGTCGCACATCAAAACCTGTCCCATGGAATGGAGGCATGCCGGCCGAGATGTCAAAGAGCATCCAAAGGAAAGGGAGTAAAGGTCTCCAATTGGCAAAGTCCAAATTTGGTCGCTTCAAATAAAATCCCTTGCTTCCCTCTTTCTTGGCTCCCCAGTCGCAGAACTCGTTGAATGGGTCCCCTGCATGTCCTGGTACATGTTCAAGCAGGAAGTCACCTGGTGCCAGCGCCGCCTCCAAGAGCTGTGCACAGCCTCGAAGTGACTGAAAGGACAAATCACATGCAAGTGAGCCAACCTCTCCTCTCGCTTGTTGCAGCGCAAGCATGGAGTCGCTCCGGAAGAGCGTGGGGATGTTGGAGTTCTGCCCAATTCGCCACATCATGGCCCAAAAGAGAGCTTCTCGTTCAGCAATAGCTGATCCGATTTTGTCAGCTCCCGCATACCAATCGTGGTCAGGGCAGCATCTGACCTGGTGAGCAGACCAGCCAATAAGCGTGAAGTCAGCGGTAGTGCCTGACGTGTACGTCTCGCCAATCACAATGAAGCACCATGCATCTGGTGTGCCTATTTCATCGTTGAGCTGAGGCGCAATGTGTCTGCAGCGCGCTTGTGATGAGCCATCCACATAGATCACAAGACGGTCAAATTTGGAGTGATGAGCCAGTGTTGCGAAATGTTGTGTGCAAATCTCTGGCATGTCCAGATCTTCAAAGGAGGTACACAAGGAGCCCTTGGATGAGTTGAAGAAATCCAGAAGGTCCTGCTCGTTGACCCCGCAGTTCAGACTGCAGTCAGAGGTGTCCACATGCTTTGAAGGGTAGAACATCTGGGCGCATTGACGTTGCTGTTGATGGGCTGGCCATGGTGGCAAGACTTTGGTCACAGGGGGTTTCAGTTGCATAGCTCCTGAAACTTCTGTAAAGTGGATTTCACTGAAGTTGTATTCACATTGAACTTCTTGCAAGATGACTGCCTTTTCGTAGCCCAGGCCGTACAAATGACGCATATGCTCAACTTCTGACATTAAAGAGTCTGTCAGAGTGTGCAGATGTACTGTCCAGGGTTCTTGTTGTGGCAGGTATGCCACATGTCGCTGGCCCGAATCTGCAGTGGCAGTGGACGCCAGGCATAAAGCAACTTGTTCTGTCGAAAGCAAGAGGACTGTGCAGTGAATGCCAAAAGCTTGCAGTTCTTCCCTCACTTTGTCCTGTGACAGTGGCTCCTGGACTTCAACGTAGGAAGGCAAAAAGGGGAGATCCTGAGAAGCTCGTGCCAGATGCACCACACGCAAGGATGGTTCGGGTGCTTCCTGGGGAGGCCCATGGGTGTGAGCCACCAGCCCATGTGTTAGGCGCCTCTCCCTCCTTGTACGAAGTTGCGTGCCAACCTGCAAGAGATTGACACCTTCGTTTCTTTGGGCTTGTTGTTGCTGGAAGTTGGGTCTTCGTCTTAACTGCAGAATGATTCCGTCACCATCTCTGGCAGGGTGAGGTTGTCCCTGACGAAGTGTGGTCGTGCCTATCCAAGCTTCACAAATGGATGGTGCCCCTGGATAGAGACATCGTCCTTCAAGACCAAGTCCAAAGATCAGATGTTCCAAGAGGAGATGTTCTTGCGTGGTGATGGTCAGTTGACAATTGAGTCTGGCAGCAGCTGCATTGGCTTCGAAGACTGAGATAACACTCGAGGAAAATGCGTCTTGAGGATTCTGAACCAGGAGCACGTGTGCTGCAATTTCAGGTCCTGTGTGGGGAGGTACAGGGAGGACGATGTGAAATAAGATCGGAGCTCCTGGCAGCTGCAAATCATTCCAGGCCGCCCGCATCGTCCTTTCCCAGGTGTCAAAATCCTCGTAGAGTCTTACGATTCTGGGTTGCCTGCATGTTCTCAGATGAGGGTGGAATTGATCGACGAACCATGTCAGGACTGATGTAGATGCAGATTCAGCCTCCCAGCTAAAGGCAGTCCTCGACCAGTGCTCATGAAGTTCTTGGATTGTCTCAGGCTGGACATTTAGAGGTGCTTGCCCGGGACAAAAAACCGGAGCATTGGGATTGAAAGCAAAAGCTCCTTCGGCAGCTTCCTCATGGGCATCTCCAGGGGCAAGCTCCGGGAGTCTTTGCATGAGCCCGGCTTCATCATGTTCGAGGTTGCTAGATAAAGCAAAGAGGCTCTGGTCTCTGATGAAAATCACGAAGTTGGTGCCCGGGTCAACGTGATCTGGATCCACGGGGTCAAGCGAAATCGCTCCTTTGCGCACTGTGCAACTTCGTGCGCTGCATCTTGCTTGAATATCCGCCTGTCGAATCACTGATCTTGCTGTCATCAGCGAAGGCAGTGAGAACGCTCTATGATCAATGATGGCTCCCTGGAAATTGGCTTCATGGATCGAGATGAGACCAACCACGTAATCCAGTCTAGGTGCTTGTTCGATGATGAGATGCGCTAAGAGGCATTCCATTTGTGTACAGGGCGGTGTAGGTCGCACAAGATAGATCGTGGCCGCCTGGTCAGGGTCGATGACGTCACTCCAAGGTTCCAGAAGGTCTTCAAGCCATGAAGCCGGATCTTGTATAAGTCTGACCGCTCGAGGATCTCGGCATTGTGGTCGGTTTGCATGATGAATGTACCAAGTGTCAACGTAGGCAATGGGACCCTCTTCTTCACATTCTATGATTGAACTTGATTCGAAGAGGTTGGAAAGAGTATCGAAATCACGATCGTGAAATCTGGTCCTTGGCCGTAGAGGTTGACGTTGTTGATGCTCTTGCCCTCCAGAGGGGAGTGTCGGGTGAACAACCTGGTCTGGGGCAACTTTGAGTTGTTCAGGTTGCCACTGTGGCTGCCAAGTTCCGCAAGTCGCGACCAATCTTTGGATGGAGTGCTGAAACAACGAGTTATCATCACCTCCTTGCCTTTGTGGATATGGCCGTGGTGTGCTAGGATCATCTGGTCGTGCAGGTGTCCAAGCTTGCGAACCTTGTGCTTGGCAGTCAGGCCGGTGATAAGGACGATGAGCTTCAAGTGCAAAGTCCCTAGAGATCGCAATGGCCCTTTGCGTGTCCAATGTAGTATCGTCCGGAGGAGGAACGATGACGCGGACATAGGTGCCATGTGGAAGGTCGTGCAATGTACGGTCTTGTAGATGCCAAATCTGGTGATCTTGGAAAATGGTACAATGATTACCATGAAGTTCGCAATAATCGAAGAGGCCCAGGAGAAGCAGTATCTGTGATCTGTGCACAGGAGGTAGAATCCGATATACCTTTCTGGTCACAGCAGGTGGAATCAAGAGTCCGTCTGAAAGCGCATGAAAATGAATCTCCAAGTCAATGAGGACAAGTTGTTCTCGAGATCCTGGCAGTAGATCATTCCTGGACTGCATGATTACTGCTCTCTCGTGAGGCATCTGAAGTCCAATTGGAAGTGCATTCATGGGGTGAATCCCAACCACCTCATTGCATCTCATCAGCAGGCATCTGGTAAGGTCAAACAAGATGCGCCGATGTGATGACCATCTCAAGAAACAATGTCCATCAGGTCGCTCAAGTCGGAAGATGTGAACTCCGACCTCTTCTTCTGGTCGAGGGACATCTGAAGAGCTGCCATGTGACGGTGTGGCCGCTTGAAATGGGGCATCCTCATAGTCATCATAGTCTAACTCTCCATGTACCGCTGCAAGATGAGATGGTCCTGCTTGTTGCGGGGTGCGAAGGCGTCTGCCCATTCTGTCCTCATTGGAATCTGTGACAGTGACGACGAAGGAATGCCCATGTTGCATCTGGTGAACAGGTCTGTGATCAAAGGGAAGGCGATCCCATCCATGTGAGATGGTGCATGAATACTGATCTCTGTTGCACCATTGGTCAGCATCAGCTATCTCTGTAATTCTTCTGCCGCTCACCATGAGTTCCAAAGAGCTTGCAAGGGCGTAGGAGTGAGGATCCGTTTCTCTTCCATGATAATGGACAGTGATGAGCCCTGCTCTGAGAGGAAGATCATTGCCCTGCGTGATGATGACATCGCAATGGACACGTTGCCGTAGGTAACCACGATAAGGGTCTGGGAAGGCAAGGTGGAAGAAAATGCTGACACCAGCATGAAGGTGGGATCTCCAAGACCCCACAATGTCATCTTCCCATCTTCTCCAATCATCTTCGAGTTCGACAAACCTCGAGTGAAAGTTCACAGGGTGGTTACCGTGATGAAGATACCATGTACGAATGCGGAGAATACCGTCACCATCAGAATCAGAGAATATGTCCTGCTCTTCCGCAATGGCATGGAGATCTTGTGCAAATGCTGGTGCTTCCGTGATGTCAGGGATCACATCGGGATCTGGCTCTGTCGGTTCTTGTTGAAGACGCCGTGCAGGATTGTCTAGTTGATTATCGATAATTTTGCATTGATCAACCCCCAAGGAGTGGAGCGCAATTCGGGGGTCCTTGTGCACAGTAGAAGGATAACCACTTCGTGTCAAACCTCCATCATGCCAAGGACGAACTTGAAAACGACTTGCCCGCAAGTCCGCAATCATAGGGCATCCACTCCAGGGTGTAGAATCTGAAGCAAAATAATGTGATGGCAAACAAAATTTTTCCAATCTCCAGCCAGTTTCTTCTCCAATGTAGAGACAAGTCCAATCTGCAAAGCCCACACGCAGAGAACGTGATGTCCTACTTCTCAAAGAAGATCGCAAAGACAAGGGAGAGGAGCGCATTGGAGAACTCTGGTGACAACCGGCCAGATTCATCTCAAGAGCAAGCTTTTGAGCGGATTCTCTGGCTCCACATTCACACTGAAAATTCTCCTCGAATGTCACGTGATGGCTCCACTTCATTGCCAGTAGAGCTCCAAAATCTTCAGGCTTCCGACTGCTATACCATAAGGTCATAGACAGCCAGCCTAGCTGAAATGCTGTTTGGCCTCTTCGCCGGCCGAGACCTCTTCGGTTCTGGGGCGTTTGGCCGCAGGTCCTTCGACCTGGATGGCTTCTGCGTCCTTGGAAAGCTGCTGGAGTGAGTTCGACAAGGTCTGAATACTTGTCGTAATCTGCATCGCGGAGGAGTCTGCATCTCCAGGCAGCTCTTCCTCGTCGCTGGCTGCGACTTCTGTGACTTGCCCTGCAGATGTCTTCGATGCATCGAGACATTCCTTCGCCTCTTGGAACTGATCTCTGGCAGCCGCAATCCTCGCCTGAAGAGCTGATTCGTTCTGCTCGAACATCTTGGCATAGTCCGTCCAATTGCGTACCGCTTCTGCCAGAAAAGACTTCCACTGTGAGACATGTTGAACTCGAGCTTGTAGAGCCTCCTCGTAAGCAGTGCGAGCTTCTCCAAGAGCTTTGGCTGATGCTTGCAGGTCCTTGATGACTTTCTTCCCCTGTTTCCTGGATTCTGTTTGAATACGTTGCTGAACATCTGGTGGAAGATCCACAGAGCGCTTCTGCAAGTAATTGATCAAATCTGATTGTCCAGGAGGAGGCGCATTCTGAGTCAAAGTTGGTGCCGGAACTGCCAGTGGAACAAAGGATTGAGGCACAGGACTTTGGACCGGCTGCGGCACAGGTGCAGTCGGCATCAAATTCATCCCCAAAGACGGATTGGGCAGCCCCTGGGGAGCAAACGGCGGGTACCATGTAGGAGGAGGTCCAGCAGGAGGTGGCAAAGGAGGGCCCACAGGAAAACCCTGCTGTTGAAAGGGAGCAGCAGGAAATGGCTGAAAGGGTCCATAGTTTTGCACATCCATATTTTTGCCTCCACCTTTTCCACCACGAGGTGACTTTTTGCGGGGGCTTTGACCACGCCAAGGTGACTTCGAACCTCTTGGGGATTGTCCCTGCTGATGATACTGCTGGCCGCTCTGTTGACCGCCATGGTAACCCCAAGCATGGTAGTCTTGTCCATCTTGCTGCTGTTTCACTCCATGAACAAAGGAACGATCCATGGCTGTTTGCCATGGTAAGTGGCAGGTTTGGCAATAGGAAGCGCTGTGCTTCCTGAGCTGCCTGCAATGGAGGCAACGCCATGGTGCATTGCTGGGTTGCATGGCTCTGGCAATAGCTCGAAGGAGTCCGCAGTCTCTCGAGTGATGAGTGCTGAGCGCTCGAAACACTTGTTGAAGACGCCGCTGTCCCAAAGGAGCAATGCCAGTTTTGTGGAGGTGCCACTGCAAACGAGCACGTGCACGTTGACGTCTCTGAGCTCTGCGCTGGGTGGAGTTCGCCGTAGTCAAAATCAATCAAGTCAATCAGGTCGTATGCCGAAATGTCCTTGAAGTTCCCGACGAGATCCAATGCACAGTGCAAGCGAGTCAGATTCACGGAGGCCAGAATCGAAAGCAGGATGGTGAAGATCAAAATTGCCCAAGGCATACACAGAAAAGATGAGGAACAAGGCCAAGCGATGCAATTGCGAGCGCTCCAGGGCAAAAAACCAGTTCAGAGTGCTGCGCAAAGGACCAGCAATGGCCCGCGGGTATGAATCACCGAACCCGCTAAAGTGATGGAAATCAACAAGCTCGTGGGGCACTTGTGATCCAAAACCTTTATATATGTATATATATATACATATCTATGTATATATATCTATGTATATATATATATATATCTATGTATATATATTTATATCTATGTAAATATATATGTATGTATATATATATATCTATGTATATATATTTATATCTATGTATATAAATATATATCTATGTATGTATCTATATATATATATATGTAAATAAAAATCTATGTAGATATAAAAATATCTATGTATATACATCTATGTATATATATATCTATGTAAATATATATCTATGTATATATATATATAAAAATATGTATATATATAAATATGTATATATATATATCTATGTATATAAATGTAAATATATCTATGTATAAATACCTGTGTATATAAATATATTTATGTATACATATATATCTATGTATATATATACATCTATGTAAATATATCTATGTATATATACATATATATCTATGTAAATATATATATGTATGTATATATATATATGTATATCTATGTATATATAAATATATCTATGTATACATATATCTATGTAAATATATCTATGTATATATATATATTTAAATATCTATATATATATATGTATGTACTTATATATATATATATCTATGTATATACATAAAAATAAATCTATGTATATATAAATATGTATGTATATATAAATATCTATGTATATATATATGTATATATTGATATATATATATCCATGTAAATATATATATGTATATATATATCTATGTATATATATATGTATGTATATATATATGTATATATATACATATCT